GCGAAGCACGTGTCTCTGATGACCCCGGCGGGGAATGCGTGGCCTGAACAAATACGTCGCCCGTACAAAGTCATGGCAATCCATCGGTACGACCGGAGTTTTACCGAAATTGGGTGGTGTTGCTCCCAATTTCTGATCTTGTCCCATTGACTCTCTAACTCTCTCGACGGCGAGCTAAGCGAAGGACTTGCTCGATGGCTGAGGCGACACGCGTACCGCATTCCCCAAAATTGAGGTGCGTCTTATAATCCGGCAGCTCTGGGTGTGTGTGGGGGGGGGGGCGGTAGTGTGGCAGTTAGCACGCGCTGCGCTACGAACCCGGCGACGATTACCTGAACCGGATCGTGGGTCTCCCCTAGGTCGACTAAGCCTCAAATGAGTACCCGGTGCGATATGTAAACATCGCCACTGGGGGAGACAAAGGCGGCCGGGCGTGGTGCTGGACACCCTCGTGTGCCGTTGCGGCCTTCATAGATGCTCGCGAACAGCACTTGCCCCAACGGTCTGTTAAGGCTATACGGGGGATCTTTGTCTAAACTTGTCTACCTTAATTCACACGGGGCACACATTTGTGGCGCGCGCGTCTGATTTTCCGAAGCGTTTTTGTTTTGTTTTTCCCTTCGGAGAATACGTTTGTAGCTCGTATGCTCCGAGTTTCAAGAATCTTTCAAAACATACATCTTGAGAGTACCCAAATTTATGAGTTAATCAATAGTGTCGTTTATTTAAGGCATACCAAGTCCATGGGGGACCCCCCCCCCACGCCTTCAAACTAAACCAAGAAGTATTACCCTTGAGCTACACCCATTTCAAACCTTTTAAAACAGTCTGCCTCAGCAGCAGACCATGCTTTCCCACTTGAAGCACTGACCTCTCGCGTGACCTTCACTCAAGGCGTTGGGGGTGGGGGGGCATACAGGATCTCAGTGGGAGGCACGGCGCTCCGGAGTCAACGTTAAACTGACGAGAAACAATGCAACACGTTGGACAAGCAGAAAGAGGAACGATGTGGTGACGACCATTTGCTTTCGTCTGTCACCCACTCTGCTGCAGCAGCTCGCGTTCCCCACAAATGTGCAAATTGTGACGCACAGGGTATGTATGCTGCATTGACCTGACGGTAAGACTTGAGAAGAACGTGCAAATTTCGATCTAAAGCTTCTTTCGTGACTGCAGGGATTCATATTCTTGGTTCTTTCGGTAAAGTCACGTAGAAGGGAAATAATAAAATAATAAAAATAAAACATTATAAAAATAATTATCACGACGTTTCGGCCACAATGCAAGCAGCCGTCCTCAGGTGAAGAACCGGTCTGTCGGAAAGACACGCCGGCTTGTACCCGCCCTCACAGTCGGGCATATTTGCGGAATACACCACGCCGCCGTTGACCCTGGCCATTGACCGAGTAACCCAATGTTCCTACCAGCTCCCTCCGCAGAAATGTGTTTATACGGGGGGGGGGGGGGGGTACGTCCTCACTGGATATGTTCTAAGTACTCTACAAGCTAGTCCAGATGTCTTGTGACCCCCCCCCCCAAATTAATTTGACCCCTATACATTCGTTTCCTTTCCATATTAACTTTTGTTTTAAATTAACCTTTCAAAAGATAGTTTTAGGGAATGAAATGGCGGGGTTCACAAGACACGTGGACCACCACCCTGTCCTGCAGGCTGCTGTCGGCAGGCGGTAAGTGGCATTCCATCTCGAGGTCTATCCTCGACGCTGATGTTCCGAGTGAGGAACTATCTTCTGGGTCGCCGGAGGGCACAGATCGGGCTGAAACGAAGCACTGCGTATGGGCATCAACGTTTGTGACTAGAATCGGGTTTTTTTTTTTGTAAGAACGGATAAATGTATTTTTGTCGTTTTAGTTTGCAAATTGTCAGCCGATTAACAAATAATTCGGAACCCGCCCGATCTCGTCAGAAGCTAAGCAGATGTGAGCCTGGTCAGCACTCGGATGAGTTTACCACCACGACTTGTCGGGGGTTTAGCGGTTGGCCAGCGAATGGCATTGCTCAGTGCAACCCCCTCGCGTGCGTGATGGCGTGCCCGGAGAAAACCACCCACACGCACGAGGGGATAACACCCAAATCACTCCCACAGATGACACTTATTCAACAATTCTGTACTGCCTCCCCATGGCCACCTCGCAGAGCAGACACAAACATTATGAAACCCAGGATACAACAATTATTTGTTGGCCTTCATCCAGCAGTGGGTAGACAATGTCTGTTGATGATGTTGATGACAAGGATGTATTTAAATGGACTCAATGTATGCAACGTGCCTATGTGCGTGCATATACCGTCGAGTAGTCTAATTAATTACACACATGTATATATTCTCTGCTGTGAACGTGCTGCACAGGTAGTCATAATTGGTACTAATTTGGTGGGGGGGGGGGGGGAGTTGTAATAGTTTTTTTTTTAAGAATGTTAGGACATTGTTAAAGAACGTAATAAAATAAAAGTTTGTAAAGTTGGGCTGTTGTTGAGTCACACGCAACAAGTTGGTTAAACACGTTACAAAATGTAGCTGAATCTGGATAACAAGCGTAATTATAACCCGAAAAGACCCGGTTCGTATTGATGTAATACAGAGTAAGAGAGGGAGGTGGGAGAGCAGATTTTTTTTTTACTATTTTGGAAAACCGAACGTGATACTGAAAAGTAACTCAAATGTGCCAAAAGAAAAAACAAGTATAACCCATAAAAACAAAATTTTTCACTATAAATCCTTTATATGCGTGGCGGCTAGAGTCCTCTCGTCCTCTGGCTTGAGATGCTGCCACCTATGGGTCAGATGATTGCATTGCACCATTAAGCAATTGGTAATTAAATATAATATTTTTGTCCTAAAAAGTGTAAAATTTTGGGAAAATGTTTTCACGAACATTAATTGTCACACACAACGAGTCTGTGTGGAAAATGTCAGTTCGATTAAATCATGGGAAGTGGGTTAAAAAACGACCGAAAGATTTGCACGGCCGTAAGCAAGCAAGCGAACTTAATAAAAAGGATTTAAAAAACGCTTTCACTCAGTGGGCATCACCTGTTACGCCTCCTTAATTGATAATGAGCACCGACATTGAGACAGAGAACATCGGACGAAGTCGACCAGTGCGTAAACTGTGAACCGCAGCACAAACGCAAATGAGAGACATCCTAAAATAACGATAGGTTTTGCCCTTTCTGGCAATAAAACAGTTGTGTTAGGATGTTAAAACACCATACCGAATCCATTTTTCATGGAATGATGTCTGCATTAACCAAACGTACTTGTGATATTATATGAATTGTCTTTGAAACTCATTGGACCACACTAGAGACAGCTTTCTGTGGGCTTGTCACTGTGAAGATGAGGCACAGTGCCGGATTGTCCTAGTAGCAAAAGTAGCTACTAAATATGTATGTAGTTACTACATATGTAGTAGCTACGGGCCCCGCACTTTCAAGGGCCCCGCGCTAAATGATTTCAAGTTATCAAACTCCGGTTCAGTGATTCTGCACTTGCTCTATTACTATAGTACTATACTGCCTTCAACTTTTACGAACGACTGGGTGTTTAAGGTTAGCGATTTGTCGTATTATCTGGCTGTATAGCAAATGAAAAAAATACAATTACTTTACTATGCAATAAAAATGTGTGTTTAAATGTTTTTTTAAGGCCCCTTTATAACATATGCTACAGGCCCCGCACTTGCTTAATCCGGCACTGGAGAGGCAATCGGGCTTTGCGAGAAGTCGGCGGATTGTCATCACCTACTATGGAACGGTAGCCAGGGAGTGGAACGCCTACCCGGGAGATGGAGCGATGAGATCAGAGTGTGCTCAAGGTGGGTGTTGTGGCGTCGCACGAACTTTTAGAGATGGCCACGATTGGGGGGGAGGGGGGGAGGCATCTATCCAGTAGTGGATAGATCATAGCCTATGATCATGAATTGCTCGGACTGGAGAATTGTTCATTGCTACGATTTTGCTAAATTCTCATTGTTGCCCAGACTGACGTTCACTTCTAATAATAGTTCAATTTGTAACGCGCGCAAATTTGCAGACGTAGTGGCGGCAACTGAGAGGCGAGGAGCCAAGCTCAGAGTCGCTCAAAAGCATGATTGTAGAGGTGATTTTTAAGTGTCTCTTGAAGGAGGCGATTGAGGTGATGCTGCGAATGTGCAGAGGGATATCATTCCAGACTGTTGGGGCTGCCACCGAGAAGCGGCGCATAGACACGATGACCATCCTGGATCTTGGTATCAAGAGGAGGTCGTGAGTCGCGCTGCGCAGGCATCTGCCGTGTGCTGAGCTGCAAGTTGTCAATAATGAAGAAAGGTGTGTAGGCGCGCTCCAATCCTGAGTTCGGTGCGGGGCGCGTTCGAAGCGCACGTGCTGACGATGCGTCGGCGCACGTGCTGACAATGCGTCGACGCACGTGCTGCCATTCCCCACCGCCGGCGATCGTGTGCACTCAGCAGTCTGAGCTGCGCGGTGAAACATCTCCTCCTCCCCACCTCGAAACACGGCACAGCCACTCACGGAGGGAGCGGTACACGCTGGGACGTGTGGGGGATGATGCCAGATATTTCGTAGCAACTGCAGACACAGCCACCGCTACAAAGAAAAGGCAAACATCCCCGAGTGTTGGGACACGTGCTGTTCGCGAGCACCTATGGTGTGGCCGGGTACCACGCTCGTGCCACCTTTGTCTCCCCGGTGCTGCTGTTTGAGGCTGCTTTGACCGAGGAGAGGCCCAGGACCGGTTCGGACAACATTTCCCACTGCTATTAGCAGCGGCCGGGGATCGAACTCTGGTGGCCCGGGTCCGTAGCGCGGCGCGCTGAAAGCTGCGTGACCGCTCCACCCCTTGTCACTATCGCCGCCACACATCACCACGAGCGCGCCTCCCCTCGCTCTCTCCTCCCTCTCCCCTCCCACTCTTCCCCGTGGTTTCAACGCGCGCTCCACGGGAGTAGTGAAGCAGATGAGGGCTGGCGCTGGACTTTCAGAACACTTCGTTCATTCCTCGCCGCTGCGTGCTGCAAGCCGCCGCTGCTGCTGGGTTAAGCTCGTGTATTTTTATCCTGCGCGAGTTACATCAGTGGAAGCGGACGCGTGGATGTACGAACGGCACACTGGCATTTGTCAGTGCACGGAGAGGTATCTGTGGTAGTCGTAGAGTGCGCCGTGCGAGCGACCGCATCGGTTTTACGCACAGCATCTGTCCGTCGTGATGCCTCCCCTGCCTTCCTCCGCGCTCTCAAAGGTAACCATAGAACGACATCATTATTATTGCATGTTCGTGTTACACGTGCATACACTGGGCTGGGATGCTGCCGTGATTGTCGTGGTTTGGAGAACGGGACATTTTACAATCCAGAGGTCCACGGCTCGATCTTCCGGCGCGGCAGTTAAGTTACAACCGCAGCTACATTTCTGAAGTCTGGCGTGTTCGTCCACAGCAGTATCAATGGGTACAGTTGGCGGGTCACGCCGTGGTGGGGTAAAGAGTGGGTAGTAGACGTCTGGCCAGCGTGGAAGAGTAGGCCAATTATTTATGCCGGGTGGAACAATAATAATTAGTACGCTGCGCAATGAACCTGACCCACCCGAAATTCGATTCCCGGCCACGGCTAACATCCGTGGCAAGTGGCTGCCCCCCCCCCCCCCCCCCCACGGGCTCACTACTGATTGAGCATGGCAGCAGTGAAAATGTGTTCATAATTGAACACGCGTGTGCTCGCTGCCGTCCGCGGCGAGTGTTGGGTTCGTTAAAATGGCACGTGCGTGCGGAATGCGCCACACGGCTCCGCGACGAGTTGCGTTGCGTGCCTGCTATTGTTATATAACGACGCGTTGAGCAAGCCTCTTGTGCCGCCCATGTGCGCGGTCAAATCGTGAAACAATGCGCGCGCCAAGGTGCACTGCTGCTCGATCTTAAACCCGGTGGTGGCCGTGTGTGTCCACGATCCCCGACGGTCACGCGGGTCGCTGCAGATGATTGTAAGAGACCGCTAAAGACACACTGCATTATTCATTATCTCTCACCGCCCCATCATTCCTCTCCCACCCCTTCGTCTCTGGCAGTGAGTGGGACTCGGCGTGCGGAATGCATTGCCTCGCCTGAGCGGTCGGCAACGAACAACGCAGAGAGATCGCGACGGGGGGGGGGGGGGGGCGAGGAGGCTCGCGGACGCCGACTTGACGGACGATGACGGAGGCAGAGAGGAGGCGAAGTGCGGCCACCGCATCCACTCCCCGCTCGGTCGCCCATTGATGCTGCTGCTGGCTACGCGGTGCGCCGTGGCGGAGTCCTTTTGAAAGGCAGTATCTATTGATATCGCACGTTTTTATACGCCGGCCGCTTTGAAGTGTGTTCATAAATAGCGCATGACAAAAAAAATCACCCCCCCCCCTCTCTTCCCCCCGCTGCCCACCCCATGAAGATATAACACCGTAGCGAGGAGTGGTATTTGATGGCGCAAAGCGAGTACAGCCGTTTGGCCACTCCACCACCAGTGGCCCTGCCGTCGATGACCGCGACTTCGTGATCCCGTGGAAGACGCGACGGAAGAAGGGGAGCGACGCGGTGGTGATGGTGGTGGATGGGCAGAGCGGGGCATGTGACTGCTGCTGTGGCTGGGGATCGTGCGATGCTCTGACGATGCGGGCTGCCACACGCTGTGCCGCGCGCGTGCAACAACAGTGACGACGACGAGTGGCACCACCGCTCGCACCGAATCGAGAGACCCGCGGCGAAGGTGTTGAAGTGACACTGCCCGCGGCGCGCGAGCACGCGATGCGACGCAGCGTCCGCGATGACTCCTCAAGGCAATTTGCTTCTAGAAGATCCTCGTACTAAATGCGCTACAAGTGGAACCCAATTATTGACACCCCCTTCCTCCCACCCTCCAACCCCCCACGAGAGCTAGAGTCAACGGTTGCCGCTATGCACGGCACGCGGGTGTAGAATGGTAGCAGAAGCAGCGGCAGCAGCAGCAGCAGGAACCTCCCAACCTTCAGCATGGAGAACAGCGAAGCGAACAGCAGCGAAGGGCGCAACGGCCGAAAGGTCTCCACTGCCTCGAGCCATTCCAGCGAGGGCGGATCTCCCGATCGAGTTGAGGGCGGCGGCTGGGCAGGAGGAGGAGGAGGTGGAGGAGGAGGTGGTGGAGGAGGTTTCGGCGGCGGCTGTCCGTTCAGCCGCTTTGGGAGGCTGCAGGCCGGCCCACCTGTGGCTTCCGGAGCGACGTCTCCCGGACCCCGCTCGGCCGCCGCGCGCAGACCCGTCAATTTGGACGTGTTGGGAGAGTGCATTCGCAAGATGGTGTGTCCCACGGTGAGTGAGCTCCCCTCCGAGACTCTCCCCCCCCCCCCACCTCATCACTTCCCTCCTCCGAGACCCCCCCCCATTACACTCCCCCACCCCTCCTCGGATGGGAGCGATTGAGCGCAGGAATGCGGACAGGAGGTGTATGCGTGTTGAACTTCGTTTGCACCGTACGTAGCCAACCGTGCTAATCGGAGGTGCGTGGGGAGAGGGACAACAAACCAAACACACAAATCGGCGCTAAGTTAATGAGTTCTATTCCTCGATCATTTCAACGAGCATCGCTGCTGTGGCTTCCTGCGATGGCGATGAGATGCGTAAATGAGTGTAAAGCGCGTGCGAGCGTTGTCAGCCAACTTTGTTTTCCAATCATGCGAAATGTAGTCGACTCAAAACTAAAGAATGAGTGTGGTAAAGCTCACCGATACGGTGTCATTTGTTGGTAGTGTGCCAAAATAACTCCCACGACCAGCACGGCGAGGGAAGGGCCTCATCCAGCAGTGGATTGATAAAGGGCTGTTTTAATTGCAAAAAACAACAACGATTCCAAACACTTCCGTTGATTTTAGTTGTAGTGTAATTCAGCGTAATGTATCTACTGAACGCGTCTCGAGGGCTAATGGAAGTGTCTGTACCATCTCGTCAAGTGTCTGCTTGGCGAGATGTTCGTTCGTAGAGCGACATCCGACACACTTGGATAGCGAGCTTGTCCACGTGGCGCAGCGGTGAGCGCAAAACCCGGAAATCTGAGTTCGATTGGCAGTCAAAGTCAACATCGTCGGAGAGTAAAAAGCTGAACGGGTTAATAATGATAATAATAGTTAAATTTGTAACGCGCGCAAATTTGCGGACGTAACGGCCGCAAACTCAGAGGCGCGGAGCCAAGCTCAGGGTCGCTCGAAAGCGCGTGGCTGTAGAGGTGAGATTTTAAGTGTCTCTTGAAGGAGGCGATTGAGGTGATGCTGCGAATGTGCAGAGGGATGACGGCGTTCCAGACTGTTGGGGCTGCCACCGAGAAGCGGCGCATAGACATGACCATCCTGGATCTTGGTATCGAGAGGAGGTCGTGAGTCGCGCTGCGCAGGCATCTGCCGCGTGCTGAGCTGCAAGTTGTCAATAATGAAGAAAGGTATGGCGGGCAGGCAGATGTGAAGGCGTTGTGGCGGGCATCCCAGTCCGCCTCCACCCCCCATGCTCTGCCCCTTACACCAAACCACGCTTACCGACGTGGTGAAGTATATTCCAAACTGCTCCAGCAGTAGATTTGACAATCGTACTGGAGCAATAGGTGTCAGCTGGGTGATGAGTGTTCGCAGACACTGCTGTGCGCACGTGTTCGCGGTTGTGCTTGCAAAGCTTCTGCCGATGTGTTTTCTGTCAGTACGTATGTTGAACTTCCTTCGCACCGTACGAAAGCCGACCGTGCTAATCGGTTGATCTGTGGTTCCGCGCGATTTTTCGAATCTATCAGAATGTGGAGCAAAACGTCGGACATTCATGCCTAACACAAGCACGCGGTGATCCATAATAATATCGTGGTAATTATGACTCGGCACTGCAGGCACGCGTGCGGAGCGATGTTGCCGTGATTGCACAGCACGAGAGAGAGAAAGCAGCAGCTTGCACTGTTGACGGCAGGGCATTCAACAACGTTTTCCTAAATTTAGACGCGAGCAATTGTGTGTTTCTGCTTTGTTCCTTGAACGCGCAGCGCATCTGTGCAGAGCAAATGATGTATCTCTCTCTCTCTCTCTCCGTCTCGCTGTGGCCATTCCGTGTGCTGTTATTCACAATCATGGGGTTTTATATGATGTTTTTTTTATTTTCTTTGTTGTTAACTTCTTTTCCACGCGTGCACAACAAAGCAATAGGTGCACTGAAGGTCATAACGTGGGGTTTTTATTTATTTATTGTCACGGTGATGAAAGGAATATCTCGACGTTTCGGCTGACTGACCTTCATGAAATACTGAGATTTACACAGATAGTCTTGTAATATACTGGAGGGCGTAGGTGTGTGTGCGTGGTCGTGTGATGTAAGATGATGGAATTTGGTGAATTGAGCCTGGACAAATGACTGTCTCACCACGTCTCAAAATAAAGAATCAGTCTACCAGCCAGCCGATCAGCCTTCCGGACGAATGTTTAAGAAATAGTTTTATTTAAGCAGGAAAATTCCGCACCAGTATTCGGCATTATGGGTTTTAACAAATGCTGCTGTCATATATTATATGATAGCTACTACTATTCTTGTTTACAGCCCCTTTGTCCATCCACTGCTGGATACACTCCTCGCTCACGGAGGCGGTCCATGTGACCATATTTCACCACCTTGGTCAATGTGGGTTGGTGACGAGCACTGGCCACCGATGTTAGCTGCAATCGGGAATTGAGGTCGGGTCGCCAGGGCGGTTGACATACCCCGATGCGCCGACTACTGCACAACCGCTGTACACGCATGTACCTCTGTACACGCATGTACCGATGTACACTCATGCATCGGGCCAGACGTTATCATTCACGACAGCCACCGTCCACTTACAGCAGCGGTTCTCAGAGTGTGGAGCAGCACCAGCGGTCCGTGACGGTCCTCCAGATCAGGGGGTCGGCAACCAACATAACAAGAAGAGGCTTTGTTGATGTTGTTGTTGCGAATTCGGTAATATGAGACAAAAATCCAAACGCAATATTTCAGGAGCCGCAATGCACTGTGCGGTGAATGTGGGACGGTGCTGCTCCTCGATGAACGACGTCACGCAGCGGCGGCTTTAAAGAGCCGCCGCTGGTTGCCGACTCCTGTTCCACGTGGTTCGCGAGCTGATGCAAATGCAGGTTGATTCGGAAATGATGACGATTGGTTACTTTTTTACACGTGTATGATATTCTATTTAAAAATGAAGCTCGGTAAATTACTCCCGATGAAACTAACATAACACTAAGATATAAATGCCAGCCCTAAAAAATAAAAATTATAGCTGCGTTAAAAATATATATTTAGATGTTTCGATAATATGAATCATAACTTAAAGCTTTCGTGACTGCAGGAATTCATATTCTTTTGGTCTTTCGGTAAAGGCACGTAGATAGAATACATAAATAAATCACGACGTTTCGATCGCAACACTAACCTGGCTTTGCCGAAAGACCCAAAGAATATGAATAATATGAATCATGTTGTATTACAGTCCTGGCATTTGTAGATTCGCAAAAGCGTTTTTTTCACGAGGGGTGGGCTTGACTGGGTGGTCCGTGGAAATGTGTGCAGGGCAAAAGAGTTTGAGAATCGACGCCGATCATCACTGATCATTACACGCTCCACCAAGCAGCGCCGTGCCCATGCGATTGCTATGCCAAACGGCACGGCCCTTCGCTCAAGTGCCTAATCGAGACGCGAATCTACGCGGATGGGTTGGCGCTCCTAATTGATCGACAGATGTGAGGAGCGGCACTGCGAACGACTTCGCGCTACAGAAGCCCGAGCGCGTGCACGAGGCAAATGCACTGCGGCAGAAATGACTCCCCCCCCCACCATTCCCCCCCCCACCACCATCTTCCCCCCACCATCCCCCCCACCATCCCCCCACCATCCCCCCCCCCCACCATCTTCCCCCACCATCCCCCCCCCCATCACCCCCCACACCATCCTCCCCCACCATTCCCCTCACCATCCCCCCCCCACCATCCCCCCGACCACCCCCTCCACCATTCCCCCCACTATCCTCCCTCACCATCCCCCCAGCCTCCCCCACCATCCCCCACACCATTCTCCCCCCCCCCTCCACTATCCTCCCCCCCTTACATCCCCCCCCCACATCCCCCCCCCCCGCACCATCCCCCCCACCATTCTCCCCCACCATCCCCCCCACTATCCTCCCCCCACATCCCCCCCCACCCCCCACCATCCCCCCCCCATAGTTCCCCCCACGGTCCCCCCACCATCCCCCCACCACCCCCCCAGTGTTTCTCGTGGTGGTTGTTGTAGAGAGACTCGCCTGTCCCTCTGGCGCTCCCGCAAAATAACAAAAATAAAACAGTGACGAGGGATGATTTAGAGATAGTTGGAGAGATTGTGGGTGGAGTCGAGATTGTGGGTGGAGTCGAGATAGTGGGTGGAGTCGAGATTGTGGGTGGAGTCGAGATGGTGGGTGGAGTCGAGATTGTGGGTGGAGTCAAGATTGTGGGTGGAGTCGAGATTGTGGGTGGAGTCAAGATTGTGGGTGGAGTCGAAATTGTGGGTGGAGTCGAGATTTTGGGTGGAGTCGAGGTATGTGGGTGGAGTCGAGATTGTGGGTGGAGTCGAGATTGTGGGTGGAGTCGAGATTGTGGGTGGGGTCGAGATTGTTGGTGGAGTCGAGATTGTGGGTGGAGTCGAGATTGTGGGTAGGGTCGAGTTGGTGGGTGGAGTCGAGATGGTGGGTGGAGTCGAGTCTAACTGGGTGGGGTGGTGGAGGGGGGGGGGTCCTGTGTGGGTCCTCGCTCCCTGAGCTCTTCCGAGACGTTATGGCCAGCGTGGTGAAGTAGGCCAAAGTCCACTCTCGAGGGGGCTTCCTCTCGTGGAGCTTATTCCGGTGGAGGCCTTGCTTCTTCTGCCAGCAGTGGTGTGAGCAAGGCATCGCAGGGCTGAACCTTTACCTATCACATTAAAAACAACAACAACAACAGCCATACTTGGCCCACATTATTCGCCGCTAACGGCTCTCACCGGGGCTGCAACAGCCCATGTGCATCCGCCTACACACGCCGTGGTGTCTGTGTGTGTGCGTACTAACGCACGGCCCTGGCCAGGTGAATCTGGGTGCCGGTTGACTCAGCCCATCATCCCTTCGGGGGCGAGGGGTCGATAATTATCTGAAAAGCATTTTGTGTCTGAAGTCAAGAGTAGATTTCTTTTGGATAGTCTCGCGCCCGCCCTAGGAACGTGGAATTTCCTACCCACTGACTCAGGGCTGTCAAAACGGAGTGGGACTCCAAGGACACAGTAGGTCGGATGACCTTGCAGTGGTGCATGGGTGTGTGTGGATTTGCATATCGCAATTCTCATGCCACTCATTCGCTAATGGATAAGCAGTGGCTACAGTGGGGACACGTCTGCACCACCGTTATGCACCATCGGTATTCACCACCGATATGCACAATCCATTTAGAGAGAAAAAAAATACACAGGTGGTATGGCCCGAGTCCAAAATTTAATGTGGAATGCCACGATATCAGTTGCACAATGCTTAACATGTTTGAAGTGCTGTACAATACCGTGATGTGTTCTGTAACGTATTTAAATACACTGGAATTCCATGATGTAGTGTATTATGCATATTACTGGTAGGAACCTCCTGGTTACACCAGCTCACAGGGGATTATTGTGTCCGTCCGTCGGTCTGTCGTGCATCCAAAAATTGGAGGGGTGGGGCTGGGTGGAGAGGGGAGGGTGGGTAAGGGGCTGGGTGGGGAGGGTGGGGCTGGGTGGGGGGTGGGAGAGGTGGGGCTGGGTGGGGAGGGGCTGGTCACCCCGTGGTGCCCTTATAAAACTCAACGTTTAACCTACTCACGCCGGCTTGTGCCCGCCCTCACAGTCGGGCATATTTGCGGAATACACCACGCCGCCGTTGACCCTGGCCATTGACCGAGCAACCCAACGTTCCTACCAGCTCCCTCCGCAGGAATGTGTTAACTGCATTAGAATACTCCGTGTTGGATATCATGTACATGCGGTAAAATGCACTGGTAGTTCATTATGTAGTGTATAATGTATACTAAATTCACATAATTTTAACGTGTTTATATAATGTACTTGGAACGCTCTAGTCTATATAGTGATCTTGCATGCAGAAACGTGCATGTGAGAGAACAGAATTCCTTTGTGTTGTATTTGTTTTCCACGTGCAAGCCAGCACCTTCTCAAAACCGCTTGAAACACAACAGCCAAAGTCTCCAACGTCTCAATTTAACGGAACACTCCGAACAAAACTATTCTTGAGCATGGCATTGCCAATCAAACCAAGAGATAAATTCTCAGCTCGAATAAAACACTTTTTTTTAAAGGGTTTATTTTTTTTTTATCGTGAAAAGTCATTGGTGACAGTGCTCAGACCATCAGCTCACTTCATTTGATGACGTCGCCCAATTTTCGCTGACAAACTTCAAGGCCCTCGTCCCAACGGTGACGGATTGCTGCCCCTAGCCCTGAGCCAGGCCACCTGAAATGTGTACACGTTGTGTCCCCCTCGCACGCGAAATATTCAGTAAGCTTCACGAGGCAATGGATAATATCCATCACAACATACAATCAACTGAAACGCGTCTTTGTCAATTGCACTGCTGGATGAAGGCCTCCCCATGCCGTGGTGGTCATGGGGCGGGAAGAGGGGCGCGGTTTGACCATACTTCACCTACACCGGTTAACGTGGATTTGTGTGTAGATTAGTGAAAGGGACCTGTGACTGATTGTTATGCCCTGACCACGCCATTCGTGTTAGCTGTGGTTAATCAGATTCATGGTCCTGGCCGGTAGAAATAAAATGATTGTCATAAATTGCAGCATGACGAAGAAGAAGATGATGATGAGTGGATGTCTCCAAAAGCAATCGCGTTTGTCATTGTAGCATAACAACCGGCTCCTTTGACACAGATGCATTAATCATACCCACACACACGCACGCACGCACGCGTAGAGCCGTGTCAATGAAAATGTATTTGCCACTTTACATGTAAACTATTTTGATAATACATATGAAGCGGGCCTTGACCGGTAAGACGCAGCGACTCTGTGCGTCGATGCGTGGAACGAATCGGGCGAACTTTACTTTCGGGCGAGTCGAATTCGTGAAAACCGTACTGGTGCGGCGATGATCGAGTCGGGTGGGTGGAAAGAGGAAGGCGAGTGAGCTTGCACGACTTCTGTTTGGATATTACTCGCCACTTGTTGTTGCAGTTGTTGCCGTTTGTAAATGTTTGTGTTTGTTGGCGCGTGCAAGAAAACATTCGGACCGTGAAGCTGTTTTACAAGAATGACCCGCGAAGGATCCTCGGTGAAATAATAAAAAAATTAACCCGTAAAAACAAAGTTTTTCACTATAAATCCTTTATATGCGTGGCGGCTAGAGTCCTCTCGTCCTCTGGCTTGAGATGGCTGCCACCTATGGGTCAGATGAATGGCTGCCACCATTAAGCAATTGGTAATTAAAGATAATTAATTTTTTCCTAAAAAGTGCAAAATTTTGGAAAAAAATTCACGAAAATAAATTGTCACGCACAACGAGTCTGTAGTGCAAAATGTCAGCTCGATTGGATCACGGGAAGTGGGTTAAAAAACGACCGAAATATTTGCACGGTCGTAAGCAAGCAAGCAAGAACTTAATATAAAGGATTTAAAAAAGAACAGTTCTCACGGCGAATAAATCGTACACGTTGCAGACACTTGAGTAGCGAAACAAAAACATGGGAGGGCAACTCGAGTGCTCCCTGGCAGGTGACACGCATCGACACTGACGCACCGAGTCGCAGCGGCTTTCGCTCAACCACGTGCAAGACAATGGAGATATTAGATGTACGTGTGTAAGTATGTACGATTGGACTTCTTTCGCACTGTACGTAGCCAACCGCGCTACTGAAGGGGAGGATGATCTAAGGTGACGTGATGAGGACTGTCGTGAAATGTGTTCACGAAAGTGACTGTGCTGATTTGTTTTGAGTATTTTGTGGATGAATGGATATCAAGGTTAGCCGTGGCAATGAATCGGACTAAGATAGCTGGTTTATGTCGCTGTGTGCTAACCCCTGCACCACCACTCCACCCACCAAGCTTTTAATTAATAATAATCATGCTCTTACCTGGTCTTAATTGAATGCTAAAGAATGTAGCAAGATTATATGATTTAAAGCTTTCGTGACTGCAGGGATTCATATTCTTGGGAAATAATGAAATAATAAAAATATAAAACAATAAAAATTCTCACGACGTTTCTGTGGATTTCACACCTGATAATGATTGCTTGTGTTGCAGTCGAAACGTCGTGAGAATTTTTATTGTTTCATATATTTTTTATTGTATTATTTCCCTTCTACGTGGCTTTACCGAAAGAACCAAGAATAAGATTATATGAATTCATATTGTGTGTGTGCATGTGTGTGTGTGGTGTTCACAAGTGTGTAGCGGTGGTGTAGCGGTTAGCACGCTGTGCTATGAACCCGGCGACCCGAGTTCTATTCCCGCTCACGGCCAACACCAGTGGCAATTATTTGAACCGGTCCTGGGCCTCCCCTAGGTCGACTCGGCCTCAAATGAGTACCTAGTGCGGTGTGTAAACATCGCCACTGGGGAGACAAAGACGGTCGGTCGTGGTGCTGGCCACCCACCCCCTCGTGTATCGTTCCAGCCTTCATAAATGCTCGCTAACGACACTTGCCCCAACAGTCTGTTCAGGCTATACGGGGGGAGGAATCGTTATCTTTGTCTTTGTGGTGTCCACAAGTGTATTTGTTCGCTTCGCCAAAAAATAATAATCCCCAGTGCCGACGTGTAAACTTGACGGCGAGATCTTGCCGTTGCAACAGGCGGACACTTTGAGAGAAGCATTGGAAAGGACGCTGCAGTGCTACGCAGAGAACCGCCGAGATTGGTGAGTCGCCTTGTTCAGTGGATCACGCCAATGTCACAGCAAACCCACCCACAGCAGCAGCAGCAATACGCACAGAGGGGGCCGTGGAGCTGGCGTCGGGGAGCGGCGGGGGGTGTAGGGTGGGGGAAGATTTCCCCGTGTTTCGAAGGTTCCCCCCCTCAAACCCTATTCAATGCACACAGTTTTGCCCCCCTTTGACATCACGTGGGTTATTTGCCCCCCCGCCGCCGCCGCGTTCTGCACGCGGCAATGCTCCCTCGTGCCGTTCCCCGCGACGTGTCTCGGAAAAGATTTCAAGTGATCGCTTGGCATCATTGAATTCCCGAGCTGGTGGCACACCACGCGCATTCACCCTTCTCTCTGCCGGTCAATTTTGTCCCATTTTTATCCTTTTTCGTCTTTTCTATTGTTGTTGTTATTTATTATTATTATTTGAGGGGCACACTTAAGATTCCGCGCGGCTATTTTGGCCGCTTTTATGACGGCACACACTGCTGTGACTCTTGATGGGCTGTACAAAATAAAATGTACAAGTTGTAAACCTTAGCCCTGCACCCGTTGCTCGGAATATTTGACCCGTTCCCAACCGGTGTAAACTCAAAGTGCGGGGTTTTTTTTTGCAGACTACGGCGTTGTGATTATAATTTTATCATTGGGCTCGAGGCCACACATTTGTGCTGTGACGTTTCATTTTTAAACAACCTCAAACACCATTGGGACAAGATAAAAGACGTCAGAATAACAATCCAGGGAACCGTACGACAGCTCTGGCGAGATCATTATATGGTCCGGCCCAAAACATCAATTATTTCTATTAAGTATTAAAGCATTTTCGTGGATTATGACCTGCCCAGAGAGGAAGGAAAAGTCATTTTCTCTCAATTTAGCATTGAGGCTGTGCTCATCCCCCATGTACATTCCACATTCCTTTGACGGGGGTGAGTCCATCCATAGGACAATGACTGTGGACTTCCCTACAAAAGTGGTTTTCATTTTATCGATCCCAGGGGCAGGAAGGGCTGAGTCAGCAACTCCCAAAATCAGGAGACAAAAACTCGCAGATTTCCAATCGCGAGCCGCTCGCTCTGCCACGGAGCCACCCGGCGGAGTAAAACCAAATGCACGCGAGCGGATATCTCACATTCGCACGGACAAATTTAGATTTAAAGCTTTCGTGACTGCAGGGATTCATCTTCTTGGTTCTTTCGGTAAAGTCACGTAGAAGGGAAATAATGAAATAATAAAAATACAACATAATAAAATAATTCTCACGACGTTTCGGCCACAACGCAAGCAGCCGTCCTCAGGTGAGGATGACTGCTTGCATTGTGGCCGAAACGTCGTGAGAATTATTTTTTAAATAAACGTTTCGGCCACAACGCAAGCAGCCGTCCTCACCTGAGGACGGCTGCTTGCGTTGAGGACGGCTGCTTGCGTTGTGGCCGAAACGTCGTGAGAATTATTTTATGATGTTTTATTTTTATTATTTTATTATTTCCCTTCTACGTGACTTTACCGAAAGAACCAAGAAGATGAATCCCTGCAGTCACGAAAGCTTTAAATATAAATATTTAATAACGTTTTATTTTTGTTATTTTATTATTTCCCTTCTACGTGACTTTACCGAAAGAACCAAGAAGATGAATCCCTGCAGTCACGAAAGCTTTAAATATAAATATTTAATAACGTTTTATTTTTGTTATTTTATTATTTCCCTTCTACGTGACTTTACCGAAGAACCAAGAAGATTCGCACGGACAGTTTAACGACTCGCCTTGTCTGGAGTGGCTTCTCGTGGTCTGCAACAATGGTCATGTGTTGCCCTTAACCCCACCTATAGTGTCATCCAATTACCGTTGATGCGAGTGTCCCTGACAATCCCCATTGTGTTGACGTCGTGGTGCGGCTTCCACGCGCCAATTGTGAAGCTCCGCAGGAAGCAATAACTGCGCGGGCGCCGGAGATCGGCCCACTTTGCTTCACGGTGGATTTTCAGACCTCGAGGGCCAAGAGGACCTCCTTCCGACTCTCCAGTCACTCGCCTCGTTTCTGAGTACGTACGCACGGGATTCGAATAGCCCTCTCGCGCGCTTGAATCGTGTCGAAGCAAATCTGGAAGAAAGAAATGAAAGTTGGTTTCACGTGATTTTGTGAGTGAAATTATACCCGACAAAATGTGAAATACGTTCCACGCAGTGTTTTAGCAGACGTTTATCTCATAGCAGTGCACCTCAATGAATACGTTGCAGATTGATGAGTCTTGTTCTTTTTTAATATTATTATTGGACTTTGTCTAATATGTCAGCAAAGACAGTTTTCGCAAACACGCACCACCAGCAGTGAATGAATCGTGGCTGATGATGACGACGACGGTGATAATGTTGACGTTCCTTATCGCAGGATGTGAGTTCCGAGGGCTTCCAGGAGAAGTTTGGCGAGGAGCTGTTCGGGATTTGCTTCGAGGAGAACGAGCGCATCCTGCGTGCGGTGGGCACCACGCTGCAGGACTTCCTCAACAGCCTCGACGCGCTGCTGGCCCAAGGCCACGTGAGGCCCCACGGCGGCTCCACGACCTCCGAGGGCCCCTCGCCGGCCTCCGACGCGACCCCCGTCCCCTACTTCTGCTGCACGGAGCTCGTTCCCCACGACCCCGGCGGAGACGACGCCGCCGCCGCCGCCGCCGGGCCCTCCGACTCGGGCCTGCTGCTGCACTGCTTCCAGCCCAACGCCGTCGTATCCGCGGCGCTGCCGGGCCTGCTGCGGGCGTCGAGCGCTCGCCTCTACGGCGCGGACGTGTCCGTGGAGCGGCTAGAGCGCGCCGAGTGCGAGCGGCGCCGCTGCTTCTGCCGCGACGGCGGCGGCGCGGCGGCCCCGCGGGGGACGACCGCGTCGCGGCCTTCGCCATCCGGAGCGGCGACGGGCGCCCGGCGCGGGGCCTGCGCTCGTGCCGTCCGGCCGTGTCGAGGTCGCCCGGCGACCTTCGCGTCGACCTGGCGACCTTCTGCAAGGTGTTCCCCTTCCACGTGATGCTCGACCGCGGCCTGCGTCTCCTGCAGACGGGCGATGGCGTGCGGAGGCTGCTGCGCGACGCCCAGCCCGGCGCGCTCTTCCACGACCGCTTCCGAGTGCTGTCCCCGCCGGCGATGCGCGACTGCTCCTTCGCCGGGGTTCTCCGCCGCCTCAACACGCCCTTCGTGGTGCGCACGCGGCGCGACGGGGCCGACGCCAAGGTGAGGCCCGGAGGCTCGTGGCGGCGACGGGCGGCTGGACGTGGTTGCCCCCAGCTCGGGGCGGCGAGCGGGACGCCAGTCGGAAGGAGGCACACGCCCGGCGGCGCTGCGACGCTCGGGATGACGCGATCCAGTGTCGAGCTCTTGTTGAACGACTCGATTGTTGCTCTCTACATCAGCCGTTTGAAAGAGGAGGCAGTGGCGGTGCGAGGCAATTCAAGTACAATTGGAAAAAACTTTCATTTTTCTGTATCGTACTGATAGACAGCAACTTACTTGAGCTTATTCCTGAAAGCAAGATATGGTCATCGTCGTCGAGATATCTCGATGTTCTCTGTTCATGTTTAATTTCCAGGTTCCAGATATGCAGTGGCAGCGATAGACATAAGCAAACCCAGCAAAAGCGTCGGGCCCCCTATCTTATCTGCATCTCTCTCCTTGCATCTAACTACATCGTTACGTGTGTCTACATTTCTCCTACCTCACGACATCGATATCTCTCGTCTGTATCTCTTCTGTCACCTTTATTGTATATAAATATAAGTAAATAAAACAGCAACCACCTCTCCCACCTTTGCTCATCGGGACATCACTGCGGCAACAACTGTTTGCAAAAGTGCCAAAAGGTCGCACACAGCGGTGGCATCACTGGGGTGCATTCTGGGAGTCACGCGAGGTTGACGACCTGCACTCGTGTCGGATAGCCCGAGACACCCAGCTGAGACGTCCTTCCAATACGAGTGTGGGGGAAACTGGCCTTGAATGCGAGTACCTGGTGTGGTGTGTAAGCGTTAGCGTTGGGGTGACCTAGACGCGCCCGGGTGTGGTGCTAGCCCCCCCCACCCTCCTTATGTGCCGTGCCGGACTTAATAGGTGCTCGCTAACGGAACTCTCCCCAACGGACTGTTAAAGGCTACACGGGGGGGCGAGGAATCTTTTGCGTGTGCCCTGTTATGTCTGACCAACCAGTAAAAAAAGGTTGTGGAGCTGCAAGCATTGATTTCATAGTTTAAAAAAATAAGTTAATCTGGAAGCCTGTGGAGTGAATCAAATTTCAAAATGAATCGGTCGCGCAAAAATATGGGCCAGTGTACTCATTGCCGTAACGTCTAAAATATGGGCAAATATTAGTTTTTTTATATTGATTTCAATCTCAATGTCGTTTTGTGAATTATTATGCCGATGCATCGCAGCTTCTTTAAAAAAAATGTTTGTGACAATAATGAGCTAACAGATGTGTAAGCTATTTTAATAGCGTTTGTTACTGTATGCAAGCGGTTCTTTAAAATTCATATTTTGTCTTTGTTGGCCAAAAAGAAGGTTCCGCTGATCGGCCTTGTTTTTATTATTGTAATCATATTTAATAATGAACTGCACTCTGGGCGCTCTCTGTCGGCAGTAATAATGAGCCAGGGAAAGCATTATTATCATTGCAAGGGTAATTAGAGAGAGAGAGAGAGAGACAGGGTGTCACGATGATCAGCTCCACCGTTGGTTTCCCCACGTGCTGACCAAGCCGTGATTTCTGAGATGTAACACCTTTCACATGCGCACGAATTCCTCACGGTCATTCGCGAATACATGTAAATTATTCAAGCACTTTGCAGAACCATTTTCATTAACATGCTAGCTTAGCAAATACAAACGAGACGCCGAGGTGCAGATTTAGTGGTGACGCATTCCACTTGAATTAAAATTTTCTTCGTAGATTTGTGAACGTTTAAATTAAACTCGGCAATGTCAATTATAACAAAATAAATACGTCGCGATGAAAGACACGTAAATATTGTTTTAGCCGTGCATTTGTTTAGTACAATTCAACGCAGCCTGCACGAGTGCAAATTCAATTACCCGTTTGCATATCAAAATAAGCTCAGTATTTACCTAACATTTTTCCTTCCATAAAACATACCCCCATAAAATCTCGGACGTGCCTCTGTTTGCCCATTGACCATTCCTATATGGACGACGGTCTGTGTCATGTCGTAGCTAAAGTATACAGGGGGGGGGGGGCTTTGGCTTTCGATGTGAGGCAATCTGAAACACGCAAAGGCTCCTCCTGCAAATGGACAAGACCCCCAGGTGTGTTTGGTTTTCATTTAATGGCCTTGGGACCGGTGGCCTCCCGGTACTGCACCAACCTCCGCACCTGGGGAGACAATGTTTGATTTGCTAGTCATGGCGTTGGGCTCCGGGAATCCGTGGTCATTGATCTGCTTGCTTAGCATCCCGATAGAGTTCAAGAGATCCCAGTCTCCTGGAGACGTCTGTCCTTTAGCACCAAACGACTAATCCAGTGTTACGTGGAGAGATTAACAGGGCACTCTTATCTTGAACCCAACCTCCAGCCCGCATCCCACCACGCTGTGTATGTCGTGGGGCAAATTTGTTAGACTACACTCCTTTGCTCATATTCTTGGTTCTTTCGGTAAAGTCACGTAAATAGAAAACAAAAAATCTAAAACAGTTGCTGTACTGCCATCTGCTGCCGACAAAATATCCCCACAGCAGCCTATAGCGTCTGTAGGTAGGGCCATGGAGGGCGGCCATCCAAGTGCTGTGCAGGCTGAAAAACCTGCTTAGCCTTTGAGAGGTGATGAGATCTAGTGCATTCTGGGTTATTAAGTCATAGGCACATAGCATGTACTTAATAATGATGATGATGATTGCCTTTGCTAATATCCATTGCTGGATGAATGCCTCACCATGCGGGTTGTTTGGCCATACTTCACCACGCTGGTCAGTGTGGGTTGGTAAAGGGGAAGGCCAAGACCAGTTCAGATATCAATCTCCACTGACGTTACTCGTGGCCGGGAAACAAACTCACTTTGCTGGGATCTTAGCACAGTGTGCTAACCGTTGCTCCACCCCAGTGTGGCAAATATGCATATTTATGCTAATCGTCAAAATTGTGGTTAACATTTCAATTATTGATTGAGAAGTTAATTCACATTTCCAATGAATGGATGGAGAGGATGGTATTTTGCACCATTTCAAATGCGTGGGGCTATTTCACGACGTTACGTAGATACTTGAATGCTGTCGTGGCTTAATGGTTTGCACACTGGTTGCCGGTTTGATCTCCCAGCGTGACAGCCGAAACAATGGGCCATGTGTTATAGGTCCCCCAACGTATGTTCACCTGGCAGTGTAAATGGATACACCACGGTTAGTCCATAATAGAGGTTTTTTTTTTTGGGGGGGGGGGGTTAAATCGTGTAAATGTAAATGTGTCGTTAAACCCGCCAACACCAAACACAGGCAATTAGTAAGGTTTGTCGCGTGAACAAAACGTGCCAATTAGTGACATCAGCACCCCCGGTGTGTTGGAGAGCAGTAACCCCGCATCATTTACAATGTGAGCACGACGTTTGGCTGGGGTTTACAACAACCAGCCTCATCAGGCGATTAGCCAGAATTGTGAAGAAGTCTTCTCGTGTCGGTCTTGAGTAGAGGAGTAAAGGTGATGTCATCGCCGTGAGCCCATCACAGTTGTCGGTGATGGGCAGCTCGCATGCGGAACGGCAAAGTGTGTGGAATCGAAGGCCAAAAATAGCCCCTGGGGAGGATCTGTCGAGCTCCGTCTAGTGGATTCCTTCCCATCCGCTGTGGCACGACCAAACTATATCGCAGGCAGAGGTCGCAAACGGGATTTGATTCCTTACCCGTACCCGTACCCGGCCGCACCAGGGTCGCAAACGGATACCCGTACCCGGCCGTACCCGTACCCTACCCGTACCCGGCCGGGTAGGGTACGGGTATCGGATACCTGTTGCAGGCGCGGGTGGGTTGATTCTAGGAACATGAATTGTGAGAAGAGACAAGACGTTGGGAAATGAGTGACAAACGGTTACTCACCAGTGACTCACGGTCTACCCGTACCCAGCCGCACCAGGGTCGCAAACGGGTACCCGTACCCGTACCCGGCCGCACCAGGGTCGCAAACGGATACCCGTGCCCGTACCCGGCCGCACCAGGGTCGCAAACGGATACCCGTACCCGTACCCGGCCGCACCAGGGTCGCAAATGGATACCCGTACCCGTACCCGGCCGCACCAGGGTCGCAAACGGATACCCGTACCCGGCCGCACCAGGGTCGCAAACGGATACCCGTACCCGTACCTCGGCCGCACCAGGGTCGCAAACGGATACCCGTACCCGGCCGTACCCGTACCCTACCCGTACCCGGCCGGGTAGGGTACGGGTATCGGGTACCTGATTGCGACCTCTGGGATGAAGCCATGTTGCAGGCGTGGGTGGGTTGATTCTAGGAACTTGAATTGTGAGAAGAGACAAGACGCTGGGAAATGAGTGACAAACGGTTACTCACCAGTGACTCACGGTCTACCCGTACCCGTACCCGGCTGCACCAGGGTCGCAAACGGGTACCCGTACCTGTACCCGGCCGGGTACGGGTAGCCGGGTATCGGGTAGGGTACGGGTATCGAGTACCCGGTTGCGACCTCTGATCGCAGGGCTCCACCTTCCTTGTCAACCACAATGGGGTCCGGCTCGTTTGAAACGTGCAGCTGAATAATTCCCTCTGCAACGCGAATCCCTCCGTCATTAACAATCCCAATCCTCCATCTCCGCACACAGGCCCAAGCGTCGTTATTTTTTTTTAGTGGCCTATATTGATGTGAGCGACAGCTGGAAATTGAATTGTGAGGAAATGTGCGCGATGAATCGTGTCCTCTGGAGAATTTTAAAAAAATGTTGTGGGGGACAAACTGTTCCACGAATTCTTAGAATTATCAAATAACAATAATCACAAGCACACACTATTGGTACTGTATAACCAAATCCTTTCATTACCTCCTTAAGTGCTAGTTTACCCAAAGGTGAGCGCGTATTGGCAAGGATTATGCTATAATTGTGTAATTCTAAAATCCTTTTGTCAACATGGCAGCAGATGTGCTCACCCGCGCGCTCTCTCTCCCCCGGCTCTCCGGCCCATTTTGCATGGCGTACAACACACGGGCAAAATCCACTGAGCATGTCACCCGCTGTGTACATTGAAGGACCTTGACACAGGAGCGCTGCCTTTTAGCCATCTGTGAAGAGCACAGGGGTAGAGCAAAGCACATGATTAGGGGGCATATGCCTGGCATTTAATGATTTCTAAGTTATAGCCTTGACCAAACAGTGTGGGGGGTGGGGGGGGGGGCAGCGCGTGCAACCTCTGCGTTTACTTTCGCCGCCCCTGCTTCATTGGCTGCGCCGCGATTGAATTTCTAGTCGAGAGCATTGGCCTCGCGCGCACCTCCGATTTGCGCGTTTGGCTTCCGTACGGTGGCGGAAGACGCTCGCACGCACATTGCACGTGAGGCTCGTGTCGGGCAGCGGACAACGGCTTCCCGAGCCGGGGGTGGGGGGGGGGGCGTCCGTGGAGAGGACATTTTCTTTACGATTTAAAGCTTTCGTGACTGCAGGGATTCATCTTCTTGGTTCTTTCGGTAAAGTCACGTAGAAGGGAAATAATACAATAATAAAAATAAAACATAATAAAATAATTCTCACGACGTTGGGGTTTCGGCCACAATGCAAGCAGCCGTCCTCAGGTGAAGACCAGGTCTGTCGGGGAGACCTGGTCTTCACCTGAGGACGGCTGCTTGCGTTGTGGCTGAAACGTCGTGAGAATTATTTTATTATGTTTTATTTTTATTATTGTACGTGACTTTACCGAAAGAACCACGAAGAGGACATTCTCTGTTGAACCACACCGCAGACTCGGTGGGGGGGGGGGGGGGGGGTCTCTGCTGTGAATGGAAATCCGCACGAATCGTGAGACGATGACGGCGTGGAGTTTCGTGCATTTGCTCACGCCGTGTCGGCTAACTGCTGCAAAGTCAACTCTACGCGCGGCCCTAAGAGAGATGCCACCTCCACCGCAAACAATAAAACCGCGTCGGCTGTCGGAGACCTTTATCCAGCAGCGGATAGATCAAGGTTGGTTGGTGATTGTTTGGAAGTCATTTGCTTGACCTTTAAAATGACATTGACTTCAGCGCACTCGGCAAAATGGGGCCGAAGGTTACAATCTTGATAGTGTGAGCTGTGGGGTAAATATTTTAGATCGTTTAGATAGTTTTATCACTCTTTTTTCCACGGTGAGGCCTATAGAGATGGGGTCGGGTTTTTTTCACATTTCTCATCTTGTGCTGCAAGACTGAATAGTTTTTTTTTATCAAACCTTGGAAGGCATTGTGTAAATATTCATCTTGATTTGACATGGATTGGGTCACAAAATCAGCACAGCGTATATATACGTACACACACACATCAAATAGCAACAACACATTCTGTTGAAATCCTGCACAGTTTTAAACAATAAATACTGTGAAAATTGTACTTCGTGCATTCAACCATAACCTTTATAAAGTGTGAAATTTTAATTTGAATTCCAGTGAGATAATTTTAAATGAGGCATGGGGCACGTTTCACATCAGTGCCCAAACGGCGCATGCATTGCTCAATAAACAGTGACGGGGAAGCAATCGTTTTAAAACATAAATGAGATGCAGAGATGGCTCAGAAGACAGAGCCCTCGGCCAGCACCGCTGAGACCCTGGGTTTAATTCCTGGGTTTAATTCCAGGCAGCTTTCTCTGGTTAAACTTCAAACAGCTCGTCGCATTCGTCAGCAACACTGCCTTCAAATAATGCAATGCGAGGCCACGCTCCAGGCAACGGCTGCTCTTCATAGCAGAAAGATGGAGTGGATAATAAGAGCTTGTTGACTGCACTTTACACCATGGGCCCTGGTTAAACTGAATTTTCACGTTGTATTGAATCGATAGTCTGAGCCTGCGCGCACACACACACAACCATCACTTAATTTTACTTAATATTGGTTTGTCCTTCAAATGACGAGCATTATTAACTCTTTGTAAACGAGCGGGTTGGTAAGTGCTGCCCCCTCGTGTGTGGAACGGATGTCTCTTGAAGGGAAATCAGAAGTAGTTCTGCGATGTCGGCTCTTGTGGCCATTCCATGTCGAACTTCTTTCGCACCGTACGTAGCCAACCATGCTCATCGGAGGTGCGGGGGAAGGACAACAAACTCAACACAACAAACGCAGTTCTAAAGAAGTGCATAGCTCCAGTGGCTTCCAAATATCAATAGATGATAATGCAAGAAACATGCTTGCTCACGCAGTTCCACCCTCTTCCATCATTGTGACATCTTCTTTATCTTCTCCTTCCGATTACGTCCGCCTGTTATTTTGCCTCTCAAAGAGTTCACAACCTTACAGTTCATCTTCTTGGTTCTTTCGGTAAAGTCACGTAGAATGGAAATAATAAAATAATAAAAATAATAAAATGAATGACACTGTCTTTCCGACAGACCTGTTCTTCACCTGAGGACGGCTGCTTGCGTTGTGGCCGAAACGTCGTGAGAATTATTTTATTGTGTTTTATCTTTATTATTTTATTATTTCCATTCTACGTGACTTTACCGAAAGAACCAAGAAGATTAATCCCTGCAGTCACGAAAGCTTTAAATCGAAATTTAACCTTACAGTTGTTGCAGTTTGTTGATAGCTCCTAAAATTGCGCAGGCCTTATTGACGCACAACAACAAAACCACTCGCCCCCTCTCCCTCCACTGCCAGGTGATGGAGCTCAAGGGGCAGATGGTGTTCGTGGCCGAGTCGGACGCGCTGCTCTTCCTGGGCTCCCCGTGCGTCGACAAGCTGGAGGAGCTGGTGGGCCGAGGCCTGCACCTGTCCGACATCCCTGTGCACGACGCGACACGCGACGTCGTGCTTGTCGGGAAGCAGGCTCAGGCCCAGGACGGCCTCCGCAAGCGTCTTGACAAGCTCAAGGCAAGCGGGGTGGGGAGTGCGTGGGGTGGTGGAGAGAGAGGTGGGGACGCGGAGGTAGGCGGTTGCTTCTTTGCGCACCGATTTGTTGATTCGCCGATTAAAGTTGGCGGCTGTCGCTCGCGATGCGCGTGTTTCGCCGTGCGCTTGAGAATGCCAGTGGTGTGCTGATCGTAGCCTGGTGTTCGATTTCGGTTACAAGAGCGAAACAAAAACATCTGTTTAAACGAGCGAGAAGTGAGATGTTAACTACCTCGTCCGGTATAAAGGAGGTCATGGGTTTGGTCCCGACCATGATGCCTTCTGTATATTTGGAGTTTGCATGTCTGTCTCTCTGTGGTCGCATGGACTTTTCTCCGGGTCCTCCGGTTTTTCCCTCCACATTTAGCATTACGCGTCCAGAGTATTTTGCTGCTATAAATGTCTACATGATAAGCCACTTCGCTGCACTATCATTAGTGGCCAGGTCACTTCCGAAAATTAGCTATATAGCTCAGTGGGCCTTACCTGGTAAAAAAAAATGCTTGGGGTTAAATGCTCATTATGGATATCATTTGGCTAGGATTCAAACTCGGGGTCACTAAGCTTATAGCGCTATGCATAAACCACTTCGCGCATCAAATTGACAATTTAATGGTTTGAAAAAAAAATCAAGCTAATACTGTTTAATAAGGCCACGATGATAAGCGTGACCTTTGTATCCATGGCTTAGATATTGTTCGCAAAAAAACCCGACATGCTTCATGTACAAGACTCTCAACAGCTGGCGTCTCTGATCATAAACCACTGGTCTTGAACAACCATTGGGGTGGGTTACATTTAATGAGGGTAGCCCATTTTAATAACTCATAGTCTTGTTATGTTATTTATATTTTTTTCCTTTTGCCTGTCCACCACCTCTGGCTGGTTGATTGTATGGCAGTTCTAGTTTCGTGGAGTCGAGTTATCTGGCGCTGCTGTGGTGTCGTCGCCTGTCAGGATGACGGTGGCTCACAGCAACGCTTGACGCTGTGCAAATGGATTTCTAGTTGTGAAGCATTTCCTTGACTTTGTCACCAAACTATTTAAAAGCTATCTTTTATTTTACCAGGTAAGGCCCACTGAGCTATGTAGCTCTTTTTCGGAAGCGCCTTGGCTATCACAAATGATAGCTCACTGAAATGGCTTATCTTATGGAAATGTATAGCAGCCCTATACTCCAAACGCACGATGTTGATTCTAAATGTGGAGGGAAATACCAGAGGACCCGAATAAAAATGCACGCGACCGCGGGGAGAAATGCAAACTCCAAATATACAGCAGCAGGCGTCAGCGTCGGGATCGAAGCCACGACCTCCTGCACATCAGGCGAGGTGGTTAACATCTTGCCACTGTGCTGCCTTGCCAGAAGATTACGATGCCCTTACACCGTCCCGTTGAATGGATTTTATTTTATTTATGGCATTTGAAAAGCAACTGGTTAAACGAAAAACAAATATCATCACGAGTTTGTCTTTGCTTATCTGAGGACGGTTGGCGTTGTTGGGTCGGCGGTTTTGGTGACATGCTTTGTGTTTTTTGTTTCACACGGAACGGGGAAGACTGCACGAAGGTTGTTTCGTTCCCCGTTGCTCGCGTGGATAGAATAAATTAATAGATTAACATTGAACAACTGCAAAATAAACGGAAATAATTATAAACACGTCTGCCGTGTTTACGCATTTCACGAGCAATGTACGAGGAGCGGCCGCAATGAGATTGTAAAAAAGAAGTCCCAGTTGCCTCGTTCCTGAGCCCGAGGAAATCCACACGCAAAATAAAATGCAACATTCTCACATTCGGTACCGTTTTCAAATACAGTTATAAAATAAACCACAACGTTGGACTGTCATTTAACATTCCCCGACTAAAACTCCAGAACCACTTCTCCCGTTACATACCGACTAGCGTGGTATGGAATGGAGTAGATACCAGGCGGTGCGGTGTGGGCGGTGGTGGATCGCGCGCATTCTCGTGACTACCGCGTGGCAGCCCGGCCCCGTTAACAAACCGCGGAACTGGGTTGATGCCGGGTTTGCACGCCCAGCCACGCCTGCTAGAGTGAGCTGCAATCAGACCGTGGCGTGGCCCACTTATACCGGGTAAAGTAGCTCGGTTTATTCAGGGAGTTACCGAATAGATAACATTAAAACACAGTGGCAAATTCCAAAATGCGTACAAATTTACTTGGGGAAAGTGTAAACTTATTTAAGTGCACATCGAATATATTTTGTTTTAGATACAAAAACTATTATGACTACGTCCACTTCGCCATGGACGAGGGAAAGCAGGGGGAGGTGGCTAGGAGAACGATCCGGTGCCAGGAAAATAACAATGAGATGGAACCCAATCCGTGCCAATCCGTTCCAGGACTCGATTCGTGCCAATTATTTACAGGACCCAATCTGTGTCAATTTGTCCCAGGACCCGATCCGTGCCAATCCGTTGCAGGACCAGCCCATGCACGGCTCGGGGTCCAGTTTTAATTGCCGTGTAAACACAGCGCAGGGGCTCCATGATAAGGCCACGTGTAATGAGGCTTTAATTTTCTGGCAGCACTTTAGTAAACATTTGGTCGATGCCTTTTAAGGCACCTGGCGGGGCGACGCTAAACAGAGGTTTGCCCTTTCCCCATTCTGCTTCCCTGGCCCCTGACGGAGCCCTTATTGCACGCGGGGGGACTGAATGCTGGACTCCCGCCGCGCTCCAACGATTGTGTTTGCTTCTCTTTCCCACCTGACATGCCAAATTAAACGCAGCCCGCAGCGTGTTGCCCCACTTTCATAATTAATTTCCGCTTCAGAAGCACGCGGGGGGTGCCCTGGTTGGCGAACACTCCCCGAGGTCACCGGTTATCTCACGCCCCCCCCCTCCCCGCTGCTTGTGTTGCCCACTCAATCGCTGCACTGGAGAGCCGGGCCGTTAGTAGGATTGGCAGAGAGCTCGATGGGTCTCCTTTGAGAAGTGGTAGAGAATAACTCTTTTTTAATGATGTGGTGGCCATTATTTACGATAATCAACCGATCGCCCAGTAAATACGGAAAGTTTGGCCAACGGTTTTAACCACGTGCCAATGTTGTGGCCCAACGTTGCATGTTTACTGGGTGTAACTCTCATCGGTTGAGATCCATAAAGCGGAGCTACTCGTAAAACAACCCGTGAGAATTTAAGCCCTGAATAAACTATGTTGAAAAATCGAAACGCCCAGGAACCGGGCCAAAGGGCTGGCCTTATTGTGAGTCTTCATGCAAGTTCTCCCTGCGGTCATGTGGATTTTTCTCCGGGTCCTCCGATTTTTCCATCCACATTTAGTAACATGCGTCTAGAGTGTTTGTCTGCTATACATTTCCACGTGATTAGCCACTTCGTTGAGCTATCGTTCGCGATGGCCAGGTCAAGTTCCAAGTTTAAAGTTTCAAGTTCATGTATTAGGTATAGCCCTGTGAGCCATTCAGCTCTTGAATCGGGTGCAACCGCAACAAACAAAAAACAAAAACATGAACAAGAATACATCTTATAGTGACTATGTGCAAACAGAAAATCCAAGAAAAGACAGCAAAATATTGCAGAAAAATCACCGTACACCAACACTGTGTGTAAAAATCCCAGTGGGATGCAAGTCAAACAACAACAACCACAAGACAACTTAGATTAAGGCCATCAGTCTAACTCCGTACTACAACAAACAAACATGGCCAAACCAAAAACTTTACGAAAATCAGCAAAATAAAGCCATAAAGGCAATGAAACAGTGATCATAGGAACTGTGACCGAATTTTCACAATAAACGACGTAAACAACATGTACCACCAAACTCTGCAGCCATAGCTGGCTGCATGAGTCACTCCACAACAGCAGGAGCATCAGTCGGAGTATCAACATTTTTCAATGCACCTTTAAGATCAGCACACTAGATCAAAACACAGATCATACTTTGTCACTCCTGAGAAGGAGCTACATACCCGGTGAAATAAATAAAAAAAAATAGTCTTCTGAGTCAGTTTAACACGTAGGCTTTCGCGACCAATATTATTCATAATCAACGTTTTTTAGGTTTAGTTAGCGTTATTTATAAATGTGTCGTAACCCTCCACCACCCGACACGGCCAATCAGTAAAAAAGTGTCACGTTGACAAAAGACAAAATAGTTCACTGCTTTAGCCCACCGGTGTGTTGAAGCGTGAAACCACAACATTTACAATTTGAGTAGTACGACGTTTCGCTGGTAATTGCATCGAGCCTTCTGAGTGTTTTTGTTTAACGTCGACGCCCGCCGTGCAAATGCAGGAAACCCTGGAGCAGACGCGGCGCGCGCTCGAAGAGGAAAAGAAGCGCACGGTGGATCTGCTCGACTCCATCTTCCCGGGCGACGTGGCGCGCTGCCTCTGGCAGGGCCTCGCCATGCCCGCGCGCAAGTTCGATGACGTCACGGTGCTCTTCTCTGACATCGTCGGCTTCACGGCCATCTGCGCGCAGTGCACGCCACTGCAGGTCATCGGCATGCTCAACGCGCTCTACACCAAGTTCGACCACCAGTGCGGGCTGCTCGACATTTACAAGGTGAGACAAAGCCGCCGCCGCGGCTGGCGTGCTCGCGGTCACGGCGGCGAACAAAAATGGCCGCCGCATCGCGTGCGTTCAGATTGCGCTTCTGTGGCCGTCTGGAACGCTCTTCCTTCCGATATTAGGAGGCCACTGGGAGCTGTGCACTTTTAGATGATCTAGATTTACAAACTGATTTCTTAAAAACTGCTTTTGTGTTTAGGTTGCTGTCCTTCCCCCGCAGCTCCTATTAGCACGGTTGGCTATGTACGGTGTGAAAGAAGTTCAACATGCATACATATGAAGCGCAATCGTGTAGCGTTGTGGTAGATCATAAAGGTGATTAAATCACTCAAGCGCCAATGTCACTGCGTGCATTGCTGCAATTTACTTGCCAACATTAAAACAGTTTTGTTTCTTTCGAGGATGGTTTAGCCCCAAAGTTCGTGTATCACAATAAGAAAAATAACTGCTAAAACCGAGGTAAATACCAACGGAGCGTTTGGCATCGGGTGTGTGTGGTGATAAACATGAAAGGGTAGGAATTGAATGTACAAAAGGGAGGCCTCCAACATTGTAAGAGCCCCAGGCCCCCATCAAACCAAATCCGGTCCGGGATGTGCCACATGAAACCGTTTGAGAAACTTTGCTGGCATAGGATGCATAATGGTCAGAGCCCTAAGCATTGTGGTGTTGTTAGTGAACATATATACAAGATTCAGGGTGTTTGATGGAAGGGAACATGAGTTGTGTATTCTTTGCAGAGTAACAGTAATGGCCTAAAATCCCGAGCTTTCAAAATCGCAAATTGCTCCGTCATGAATCATCACCGGCTCCTCTTCGAGAAGCCATTTAAATAAAAGAGGCAGTTAAGAAAGAAAATTTTGCTGACACGAATGTTACATGCATCCGCGCAAGCATTTAACGTGTACAATTCCCAGAGAATAGGGAACGTGAGCGTTGCGATGATTAAACCGCAGTGACAGGTTTCAAGAGAGAGCCTGCTGTGCTTCATTAAATATGACTTCTCTACCCATGGCGATGCGGTGTTCGAAATAGGGCCCCTTTCTTAACGCCTGCAACAAGGCTCGGCAAGACAAGCATGCAACACGTTGAACTGTGCAACACACCGAGCCCGCTGTGTCAACGTGGGCAGAAAACAGCTGTCGTGTCGGAGAATTGCAACGATAAAATAGCCACAGGCACTTTGATTCATTCAACATAACCGCTGTCGTGTGACCTCCAACAATAATGCCAGAGTTTATCATTATTATTGTTAACCATGATCATCAGCCATCGCCAATCCACTGCTGGATGAACGCCTTCCCAAGCCGTCACCATATCGCGTGATCGTGCCATTGAACGATCCACCTAGCAACTTGAACACGAGCGTTACAACGTTAAAATAGAAACAGGCAAACGTGCAGCCTTGCCAGTGCTTAATAATAATAATAGTTCAATTTGTAATGCGCGCAAATTTGCAGACGTAGTGGCCGCAACTCAGAGGCGTGGAGCCAAGCTCAGAGTCGCTCGAAAGCGTGGCTGTAGAGGTGAGTTTTTAAGTCTCTCTTGAAGGAGGTGATTGAGGTGGTGCTGGGAATATGCAGAGGGATATCGTTGCTCGTGTCACCGCTGGCAGAACGGTATACCCTAGAGATAGCACAAGACAGCCACTGGCCTACTCTTCCACACTGGTCAGGCATCTTGGAAGAGGTGGTGGGAGTATCCACTCTCTTTCCATTTGTACCGTTGACGAGCCCATTGTTTTAACTGCGACGCTGGGAGATCGAACTGGAGAACTCTTAACCGGCTATTGTTGCACCGTGGCATTCCAGCCTCAATCGTTGTGTTGCGACTCCTGTCGGCCAACACTTTAACGTGCCTTTGAAAAACTCTGCGTTCTATGAAAGTTCAAGCAACGTACATATCACGTGATACACTGTTATCACGAATTGCATGAGTTGTTTTTTTAGATGCATCTCAAAATTAATTCGGGTCCTGAAGAAGCTCCCAGAACGTGGTGTGAAACGTTGGACACCTTGCCGAACAAGGTTGCGGTACAACCCCGAAAACACATTCCAGATCTGCGCGGCACAACCGTGAAAACCTACGCGGTGGTAGAAATGAGAATCGATTCGCCACTCCCGCTAATTTGGAAATGTCCTGCAGGCTTCGGCTGGGGAGAAAGATATTTGTAAAATGTTACACTCTGAGCTGATGATTGGAATGGTGGTGCGTTGGTTCACAGACTGCACTTTGAACACAGCCATCTGACTTGTGAGTTTGATTCCTGGCTTTGGTTAGCATCAGTGGGGGGCGATATATGAACCGGTCCTCACACCGAGCCCTGCCTGACACCCCAACCCTGCATACACTCAGCATGGTGTGAAGTAGTATGGTAAACCAACCCCTATGACTGACACGGCATGCGTGCATTATTTTAATGACAAGGGGCCGAAATTATGATTTAAAGCTTTCGTGACTGCAGGGATTCATATTCTCGGTTCTTTCGGTAAAGTTACGTAGAAGGGAAATAATAAAATAATACAAATATAAAACAATACAAATTCTCACGACGTTTCGACTGCAACACAAGCAATCTTCATCAGGTGTGAAATCCACAGCAGTGCATTTCACACCTGATGATGATTGCTTGTGGATTTTTACACCTGATGATGATTGCTTGTGTTGCAGTCGAAACGTCGTGAGAATTTTTATTGTTTTATATTTTTATTTTTTTATTATTTCCCTTCCACGTGACTTTACCGAAAGAACCAAGAATATAAAGGGCCGAAAGTTCGTTATTATACACTCATATCTGGCACGATCTCAGAAAGTGAAATTTCACTGTGTTATACCAGTGATTGAATTTCTAGTGAACCCACCGCTCTAAATTGGCCTTCGTGTTCACCCTCCCAGCTTGCTTGCCGTTGATGTTTGCGTGGTTTTTATTTGAAGCTCCAATTCCAGATGGCTGAAACTCATTAAATGAATGCGCGGGACACAAAGGTGTCCCTGTCTCTTTTGTAGTCTTGCAAGCTTCCATGGATCACGTGCACGTATCTCAGTTAAGGCCAGCACTCCAGAATTACTTTCAAGCTCGGGCTATGGTGTCACGAGATTATTATTATTTTCACAATGCGAAGTCACCTTGCGCGCACCCCTTGCAACCTTCGGTCCACGCGTGCGTGTATTTATAGATGAATGGATACGGTGGATACGGGTCTCTTTTTTGTTCGCCCCTCCTCCCCGCCCCCCCCCCGTACGGTACGCGTTGTCTTTCATTCTTCGGTGGATCGATGGCATACCGCGAGCCAGCGGACACTGGCTAATGGACCCAACGGCTGTCCCATCAGCGCTAAATAATTAGCAATTAGCGGGAGCAATGCGCACGCCGCTTTGCACTTTCGCAGCACCGGATAGGCCGCGGGGACGCATTCCGGCCTCCATCATCAACCGTGCGTTGCGACTCTCTGCCCGCGTAGGGCACCACTATAACGCGGCTCTGACACAAATTCTTGCGCTTCTATATATTTTTTTTATCACTGAATAGTACGCGTAATTGCGTGTTCTATGAGCGTTAATAAAATGCGAGGGAATTGTATGGTTTTCGTTTGAAGATGCATCTCAAGGTGTCTGTTGTCAGTGGTTGTCACCAGACATTGTGAAGCCAGCCCATCATCATGTCTTCAGGGTTGTTAAATACACTCATTTGCAATGCTTGGAAGAAGGTCCACACTAATCCTTTCCACACGAATGTGGAATTTCCACTCAAATTAGGCCAACATATTCTAATATTGGGGGGTGCATTGGCTCTATCTTAGAAATGGCAAACATGTTTTGTTTTGTATTGGTTAGACCAACGGATTGTGAAGTATTATACAATAATACAATCATTCCTGGCCCAAATAATCACCAGGCTTGAACCTGCTTAGCTTCCAAGGTCACTCAATATTGAGCACTCAAAGGATGATATCATCGACTGTGAACTTAGCGATCTAAATTCAATTCCTAGCCACGGCTAATAGGAGTGGCCAGTGATATCTGAACCAGTCCTGCCCCCCCCGCCTGCCCCCCCCTCACCTTTCACCAGCCCCCACTGACAAAGTGTGACGAAGTACGGTCAAACAACAAGACCAAAACGGCATGGGCCCTCATCCAGTAGTTTAGTTAACAAAGCTCTGGCTGTTCACGTGGCGGTGTTCTAATTACAAGCACGACGTGTGGACGGTGGTAACCCGTGACGTGTGTCCGCTGGCCACGTGCTGCAACGGAAATAGCCGTCGTGCGCAGCGGCTCCCGCTGAAACGAACTCGCGCCACCGCTGCGTTTGATTGTGATTGGCCCTCACCCGCCAATGACGTCACAGGAGGGGGGGGCGGCCACGTGCAGGAAAATGGCAACAACGGCGAGCTAGTTTGCCCGCGACTGCCAAACGATTAGATCTCCTCCCCCTTCCATAGAAAACTAAAAATACACCCGGTGTTCGAAAAAAAAACACTCCACATGCTGCTCTGCGAATGGCCTCCCGAGCCTGCTGCTAATGCTGCCCTAGTTTGGAAGGGGAGATGGGGGGTGAGTCACTTAAGAGGGGAGGGATGTGAGACTGAGCTGACTGTGAGAGGTGCGACTCCGGAACACCTGAGGGACTTCGCGCTGTGCAGTAATTACGTGGCGTGGACACGTCTAAAGAGCTATGCACTCCGGGGGGGATTTCAGTGTAACCCGTTATCGCGATCGTGCGTACACCATTGTGGCCAGGCAATGAGAATTCTAATGCTGTGACTGTGTACGGGTGACAGGCATTTTGTTCAGTCCACTGCTGGATGAGTGCCTCCCCAAGCAATACTCTTAGGTTTTTCGGTAAAGTCACGTAGGAAAAATAATAATAGAAATAATAATAGAAATAAAATAATAAATCACGACGTTTCGGAGGCAACACAAGTCTCCGTCATCAGGTGGGACCGTCACAGCTGTGTGTGACTTATTATTTTATTTCTATTATTATTTCTATTATTTTTTATTTTTTACCTACGTGATTTTACCTAAAAACCTAAGAGTATGAATCCTTGCAGTCACGAAAGCTTCAAATCTAGAATCCCCAAGCAATGTTGGTCACGTGGGTTAATTGGCCATACTTCTCCAAGATGGTCAATGCATGTTTGGTGAATTGAAGTCCCAGGACTGGCCCTGATATCACTCGCCACCACTGATGTGAGCCGTGGCTAGGAATTGAACTCGGCTTGCCGGGTGTAGAGCGGAGCGCGCTATCGACTGCGTCGCAGCTCCACCCCAGCACTCTAATACAGGCCTTTGTAGTATCAGGTAAGAGCTCATGCAGACAACATTGACTAAACTGGCAGGGAATGCAAGATAAATTGTCCATGCCAGGAGGCGCCGCACTGACTCCAGAGGCATGCCCGTTACGCACATTCCTGATAGATATATTTTACATTTTCAATATGTATATATGCATCTAACACACACAGATATGGTTTGGAATTTTCAGTAAAGCCTATTTTTGTTTGCTGGCAACTCGAGCATCCTGGCTGCTTTGTATTCACAGGCCACTTCGTACTCAGACACAATAGCCGAGATGCACCTGCCCAGCCTCGGGAGTTCAGTATTCTGCACCATATGTCTTAATTTGGTGCATCAAGCTTCAACGCCCAATGGCGTGCGGAGAAAATCAATGCGATAGCTCTCTGCGTTTTGGCGTTGTACCGCACGTCACTCGGCATGATGTCCGACGTTTCGCTCCATGTGATAGGAGCTTCTTCAAGAACACTGAAAAGCTATACAGTACAACCGCAGATACCTGATGCATGCCCCCGTGTCACATCAGAGGGGGTGATCCATTCCCGTGGCATGCTCGATGCGTCGGCACGCATCTGCACACAGCGTTCGCGTATCACCATTAATTATAGAGCAAGTAAATTTGTACAGCTGCGATATGTGAAACTGTCTTTTTTTTATCGTGCCTCTTGAATAACAATAAGGTGCGCGGTTGCAGTAAAACCCAGGGCTTGAGATTTTACAGAGATGGAATTAATTGCTTTGAGCCGTTGGTCATCATTCAAGTCCATTCCAGTGGCATTTCACTTCAGATTTTTCCACCAGTCTTACAGGAGGTTGGTACCCCGAGCATTATGCAGCTGGTGAAAGCTATTGAACAGTTATTTAAAGTACTTCAAAATGCTTGGCAAATAAAGCGCTGTTTTCTTATTTGCAAACTCATGTTAAGAGTGCAAGTGTGCATTCGCACAGTCGGTATGGCCCTCTCTCGATAACACGTTTTTCTTTCAGATCACGTCTTTTGTAAATGGAACAAGGGTAAGGGTTTGCATTCCTTTATTAAGCAACCATTTTTCGGTGTATTTTTAGCTTCTATTTCTGGAATTCAGTTTAATGCAAAGACAAAACCGCGCATTCTTAATGAAATTTTCACAGCTAATTTCCAGCGTCTGCATCTATCACGTGCAAGAAAGCATTGCCGTGTGCGTAATGTCCTTATTAATGTTGCCAACCTTTTCTTTGTTCTCCATGCTGACAAATTGTTTTTGTAAATGTTTTTTTCGTAAATAAATTTAGCATTATTACCCACGGCTCCGAGAGCTGCCTGACAAATCAGCGCAGGTTGCACATATTACCGAGTGGCAAAAAAAAAAACACTGGCACGTATCTTGCCAAACTCCGGCTCGCGGCATTAATATGACTCAACTCGTGTGGCGATGCTCCAGCTAAGAGGTTGCGCAGAGCTTTTGTCGAAACAAAGCAAGTAATGAACTGCAGAACATGTAGCTTTAGTTGTAAGCAGTCTTTTAATGCAGTCAAGAGCCCGTTGAGACTGCGCATCTCTTTTGCGAGGTACGCCGAGATCTTGAAAATGTAACACATTAAACGTGTTAATTAAAGGGTTAAAAACATGAGGCATTAGCTATGGAATAAAAGCAATTGTGTTCATAATGTGAAAACAATCCATTTTATTGGGAAGTAAGAGTGTGTAAACGTATATTCAAAGCTGCTGGGTAGTTAATCTAAAAGATTAGAAGTTGTGGATAATTACGAAGGCCCCTTGAAACATGTCACCTGCCTCCCTGCAAGCCACGTGCAACGTGACGTGGCTGATGATGCCAATGATGTCACCAAACCCCAGCCATTACATCCCAAACAGCGGCACACATGGGAAGCAGAGCAAGTGCACCGATGGCCGTTGAGTTATCGATTACTTGAAGAATCTTACAGTCAAACTCTACCGCTGAGCGCCTGTGAACAAAAACCCGTGCGGCGTTGACGCATGTTAAGTTTCAACGACGTTGCAATGTGACTACACAATGCGATGCTGTCGCCCAAGTCTGTGACACGTAGAATTGTGTCAAACAATCATTGGCCCGTGGGAGAAACACCCGGCTTGCATAAGAGGCCAGTTGAGGATTTGGCGGCGTCGCCAATATATCTGCGGCGCAACTACTGTTCGAGCTCGGAGATTTGCGAATGTTTTGCACGGGCACGCTATTTTTGGCCGCGAGTCGATGCTCGCTTGCACGAGCACGCGGCGGTGACTGCTCGCGCCCACGCACGTCAAGCCCACCCGGTGAGCCTCGTCGCTTGGCCCCTGTCGAGTAATTGACGGGACACACCGCTGACAATCGCCGTGGCGTTGTTGGGAGGCCTGTCCGCGCTTGGACAGCTGCCTGACGGGCACGCGCGCGCGCACATGGGGTTAACGTAGACGCCTGGAACGCAGGAGGCCGTGGGTTCAATCTCGACCCTGACGCCTGTTGTGTATTTGGAGTTTTCGTGTCTTTCTCCTCGTGGTCGCGTGGATTTTTCTCTGGGTTCCTCAGGTGTTTCCCTTCCACGTTTAGAAAGGTGCATTTGGAGTACTTATCTGCAATAAATTTCCACGTGATAAGCCACTTCGTAGCGCGATCATTTGTGGCCAGGTCGTTTCTGAAAAACAGCGATATAACTCAGTAGGCCTTGCCTCGTAAAATTGTAATAATTTAGTTTAGTTTGATAATGACGACGGCGATAATGCTGACGGCGTTCTGTAAATAAACTGAGCGCGAGATGTCCACAGCAAATATGACTGACCGATAAATGTCTTATATTATTATTCCGAGATATTTATTTTGCTAAATAATAATGCAGATTTGATCGTTTTACTTTGCAGCCAAATTGGGTTCGGGTGATAGGATCATACATGGTGCGAGAACACCTTCACAAAGTGAACGGTTAACGAAGGTGCCACAGCCATGTGGGAAATTCTCGAGTTGCAAGTTTTGACACCATTGCCCTGTTAATCCAGCACACAGCCGTGGGCAATGTTCAGCTCTTATTTGCTGACGTGGATCTTAGATACTAGTGACTGTTCGCGTCAGGAAACTTTACAGCATGTTGATGGGATGGTGAAACAATCCCCCCACGACCAACTTGGTACCGGAAGAGAGACATTCATCCAGCAGTGGATGGACAAAGGTCTGTAAATGACTATTAATCATTGCAAATTACCAGCCGGCGTGCATATGATGTAGTAGTGCTGTTTGCTGGATGTCACGAATGTCTGGCCACGGTTGCAATTGCAGTCTCGCACCGTGTGCAGTGCACTGCCCCTGTCCGCCAGGCCCAACAAATCTAAATTAGTTTTACCCCCTCTGGGTGTAATGTTGTCGGGTTTTCCCACCAACAAGGTACACAAACCTGGGACATGTCATGGGAATAATAATATCTCAAAATGCCAGAAAAGGGGAGAGCTCGCATGTAAAATAAAACCCACCGCTCTATCTGAGTGGCACGCACGGACACACGGGTCATCTTGAATGAGGCATTGTTACAAAACAGACTTTAATGTCCCAGCAGCTTTGTCAATACGCGGACGATCATGGGAAAACCACAAGTGGAAGCTGTGCATAACAATACCTTGATTGATTAATATTGGTGCTTAAGCTCACAATTTACATGATCAGCCCCTCTTCTCAATCTATTGATGAATGAGGATTTCTCTGCCACACTTCACCGCACTGGTCAGTGCCGATTCGTGAAGGAGGGGAGCATAGATGTGGGAGCATAGTACAGTACAACAGTGGATCTTGCTTTGTTGCCCTTTTCCAGCCCCACCACGTGGCCACATTGTGCTACATTGAGAAGGGGCACCGTACCGCCACAACCCGGAGAGGGTGGCGACCCGAGCGGTAACGCGTCCTATTGAACGAACGAGTGGTTACCCGCGCGGTGCGAGCGTGCAGGTGGAGACGATCGGAGACGCGTACTGCGTGGCGGGCGGTCTGCACAAGCCGAGCGCGGAGCACGCCCAGCGGGTGGCCTGGATGGCCCTGCGCATGATCGACCTGGCGCAGAAGGTGCTCACGCCCGACGGAGAGCCCATCAAGGTGGGATTTTTCCAACTCTGCCTGGAGTCCCACCAGCCACACTTCCACCATGCCCACCAGAGACAAATAACCCCCCCCCCCCCCACCGTGTAGCCTTAACAGACTGTCGGGGCAAGTGCTGTTAGAGACTAGCACCTATGAAGGTCGGCGCGGCACACGAGGGGGTGGGCGGCCAGCACTGCACGCGGCAGCCTTTGTCTCTCCCAGTGGTGATATTTACACAGCGCACCAGGTACTCATTTGAGGCTGTGGCGACCTAGGGGAGGCTGGTTCAGATAATCGTCGCTGGTTTGTAGCGCAACGCGCTAACCACTACGCCACCACGCCACCACGCCCCCACTACCACCAAATGCAACGACCCCCCTCCCCTCCCAGCTTTCCCTCGTCCCTGTAGCTTACACAGGCTGTTGGGGCAATCACTGTTAGCGAGCAACAACCACCACCACCACCTCTCCCTTGCGATGCGATGTACAGCTGTGAAGGTCACGAAATCCGGGCACTGTAGCAAATCAAGCTGATCTCAGAGGCCACGTGAACTGCAGGTTGAAGCAGCTCTGCTGGGGCATGGGAGAGCTATTAACTCTTTTGAGTGCTGGTGATGCGACAACCGGGGTTTAATTCCACCTGGGCCTGGTCTGGGTTGATGACCCCCGGGAAAATACATCTGTCTGCACCCGGCACACCACGTCCTGTATACCTGTCGCTGTGCCTGTGACGACTAAGGCACGTGTCACCTCCAGGCTACCAGGCACTCTGAGAATATTCTGTCATGAATCACGCCTTGGTGATAATACGACAACGGGGCAATGCACGGTGCTCTCACTGGCGAGCTGGGCAATATTTAATCAATCGATGGATTTTTCGTTCACTCATTGGTTAAAACAATGGCGGTGGTGTATTTGACCTTGCATTTGACCTTGACGAAGACTGCCGTTTTGTCACGAATACGAGCGTTTGAAAATGTGCCGATGTTGCGAGTGGATTGCTCCGGCGCACAATTCCTTCGAGTGCAAAGCTCTCGGTCGTTGAAGAGTTAGCCTACAGGCGAGTGTACCCTATTTATATGTGGAGACGGCGCCCAGCCGGTGTGTGATTACGTTGGGATTTGAGTCATTGTGGGGATGGGGTGGGAGAGGCTTATTGGGCTTTTAAGGGGTCTGAACAGCCAATGACCAACCCAATTTCAATTGTTGTCAAATCAACTCCACAGCAAGAATTATATACAAGGTGCTTTAAATAAATGTTAACACTTCTGATAATCTTCTTGGTTCTTTCGGTAAAGTCACGTAGAAGGGAAATAATAAAATAATAATAAAAAACATAATGCCCTAATCCACAGATGGGTGGGGTCATCTAGAAGTGGCTGAAGATCCATCCTCGTCTTGTCTGTTTATTCTTGGACGAGTCACCTTGTGTTCCGAAATGGAGGTTTTTTTGGGGGGTTAGATCGCATGAATATAAATGTGTCGTTAAACCCGCCACCACCCGACACGGCCAATTATAGTAAAACTTGTCACGTACACAAAACATGTCAATTAGTTATTATTTCAGCACACCAGTATGTTGGAGAATGAACTCACAGCATGTATCATTTGCTCTCCAAAACACCGGGGTGCTGAACTAGTAACAAACTGGCCTTTTTTGTTTACTTGACAAACCTTACTAATTGGCTGTGTCGGGTGGTGGTGGCATGTTTAACGACACATTTATATTTGCGCGATCTAACCCAAAAAACATGTTAAACCCATTCGTGATATTATCCGAGCCTTGGCATGCCTAAGAGGGGGGACCCAAAGTGGCAGAAAATTCATCCCATCGTTGATCGGCATGGGTAATGCGATCTGCCACAAAATGCCCCTTACGTCACCTCGATCGAGACAATTCCCCCGTGTTTAATTTGAATTTCCCTTTCATTTCGGGGGGTATCGGCAGCAGAGTCATTCTCCCATCTCTGCTGTGAGTTTAATTCCCAGCCGTGGCTAACATCAGTGGCGAGTAATATATTGTAATATCTTGGCTGTTTCTTAGGGATGGCCCAACCCATACTGATCAGAACAGTGGCGTCTGGTCAAACCACCGCCCATGACTGGCACAGCACTGGGAGGCCTTAAACCAGCAGTGGATTGACATCGGGCTGTACATTATTATTATTATACTGAATGGCCCAAAGGGAAGGACACATAGAGTTGCTGTATATATTTTAACATCACATGTGGATATTTCATTTATTTTAACAATGTTAACACTGACTTCCATTAACATTAATACATGCATGAATTCTCTTTTGAAATGAATGTAGGACTTTTTTTTTTAAAGATTACAGCGGCCTTGTTTACAATCATAAAAACTAATTGAACTCGTTCATCTTGAGTAAATTTTCTTTCCATATGTATGTCATTTGAAAAGGAAGACGAAAATAGATATTAATCATGATAATATGTAAAATATGAACTTGAAGAATGAACAATAAAAATGTTTCATGCCCGTATTAAAATATATAAAATAGCCCGATGTACACTGGCTTTTTGGCCACCGTGTATTAAACTGAAACGAAACTAAAACAATGTTTCATTTGACCAGGTAAGGCCCACTGAGCTTATGTAGCTCTTTTTCAGAAGCGACTTGGCCACAAATGATAGCTCAACCAAGTGGCTTATCACGTGGAAAGTTATAGCAGCCAAATACTCTAAACGCACGTTTCTAAAATGTGGAGGAAAAAACCAGAGGACCTGGAGAAAAATCCATGCGACCAAGGGGAGAACACGCAAACTCCAAATATGCAGGCGTCACGGTCGGGATTGAACCCACGATCTCCCGCATACCAGGCAAGGGAGTTAACATTCGCCACCCCAAAGTACAAAAAAACTGTCTGTGCACAACACACTTTTGCCTTTTTCCATTGCACAACCATGTAATTTTGTCTTTCAAATAAAAAGTGCTGCTTTCATATCACATTTTTCCTGCACGTGTGGAGACGGCAGAGTGGAGTTAGTAGGGGAGGAGGGGGTAGACGGAATAGGCGGGGGGTGTAGAGGAGAAAAGTGTAAACGGAGCTTGGCACACGCGAAGTTTCATCATCGCCTGCGACTAAATTCGAATCCTGTTCATCTCTTGGTTCTTTCGGTAAAGTCACGTACAATGGAAATAATAATAAAAATAAAACATAATAAAATAATTCTCACGACGTTTCTGCCACAACGCAAGTAGCCGTCCTCAGACTCTGTCTCCTTGACAGACCTGTTCTCCACCGGAGGACGGATGCTTGCGTTGTGGCCGAAACGTCGTGAGAATTATTGTATTATGTTTTATTTTTTATTATTTTATTATTTCCATTCTACGTGACTTTACCGAAAAAATCAAGAAGATGAATCCCTGCAGTCACCGAAGCTTTAAATCGAGATCGAATCCTGTTCTCGCGCTCACCGTTCCCACGGGAGTGCTCCGCAGACCGTGGCGGACGCTGCCGCGCAACAGCCTTGGCACGCTGCTATGAATGATTGAGAAAGCGTGAAGGTGTATTAGCTGCGAGTGCTCGCCCGGCCAGGAGCTCTCCAAGGGGGTTCGCTGGCCGCAAAGAGGCCGGGCGCGGCGGAGCGCGAGGCGGTGACGCGTCTCCAACGCAGCGCCCCCCCACCACCACCACCGCACAGCCGAGGGATCGAGCGCCACGCGCGTCGCGAACGCACAAACACGCCGCACCAACTTCTTGGTTCTTTCGGTAAAGTCATGTAAAAGGGAAGTAATAAAATAATAAAAATAAAACATAATAAAATAATTCTCACGACGTTTCGGCCACAACGCAAGCAGCCGTCCTCTTGCGTTGTGGCCGAAACGTCGTGAGAATTATTTTATTATGTTTTTTTATTTTATTACTTCCCTTCTACGTGACTTTACCGAAAAAACCAAAAAGATGAATCCCTGCAGTCACGAAAGCTTTCAATCGAAATTACGCCGCGCCAAATATAACGACTGGGGGACGCTGCGTTCGGTGCGTTGGGGAATGACACATCACGCGCGAAAACATGACGTGGTTTTAGGGTTTTGTTGTTGTCTGACATGGAAACGTGCGTTATGCTTTGGACACGCGACACGTTGAGGTGCAGGGCGCCGAATACTTCTTCCTGTAACACGTTACGCTCTTTACCTCCCTCTCATTGTTCGTGCAAATTCTGGTCATCCATCCCATCAGCATCGAACAAAGACGGTCACTGCATTGCGTCCTTTCCGATGCGCTTCTGCGGCCGTCTGGAACACTCCTTTCGATATCCGGAAGCCGCTGGAGCTGTGCACGTTTAAATCTAGATTGAAAACTAATTTCTTTACAACTGCGTTTGTTGTGTTTAGTTTGTTGTTCTTCCCCCGCACCTCCGATTAGCACGGTTGGCTACGTACGGCACGAAAGAAGTTCAACTTTAGTCTCAGATCTGCATATGCGTGAAATTAAGTGAAAATCAAAGTTAAATGTTGCAGGGATTTTTTTTTTTGCGTAGCTGTTGGCGATTGGGTTAAGACCATCAGCTCGCTATGTTTGTGAAGCTGGTTTAATCACAGGTGGCTGAAACATGGAATGGAACCCGGCTTAGTAGGGGGTGCTGACTCGGCTGCTGTGGATTTCTATAGCCCTGCCCAGGGATTTTAGATGGGTTTTTTACGCGTATATACAAATGTAGACTCATCGTTTTTTCTTGCGTGAAATAAAATGAATCATGTATATGGGTTAATTTATATAATTACTTTCATGTCATCTTCCAGGGCTCAATTAATACTTTGCAACAATTTGTAATCATTAATTGATGGTGATGATAGCTGTGGTGGTGGTGACAATGGTGATGATCTGGTTAAGCTGTTAACGGTAAATATATTTAAGTTTTCTTTGAAAACCCATCTCTTTAAAAGTGTCCTTCCCTTTTTAGATTGGTCGGTGCGCTGGTTCTGGTTTTGTTTCCTGCTTTTCATGCATTGTGCATTGGGATCCTAGGATGGAATTTTGCATTATAAATTGTATTTATTGTTATGATTTTGCTATAAAGCTATAATCGTGTTATTGACATCCTCCACCACTACTATGGTGCAGGGCTGTGCATAATGCACCACGACCACGGCTAACATCGGTGGCGAGCGATGTCTTAACCTGCCCTCGCCCCGTACGTATGTATGTTGAACTTTTTTCACACAGTACGTAGCCAACCTCGCAAATCGGAGGTACGCCCTCCTCCCCAACCCGCACTGACCAACATGGTGAAGTATCTTGACTTAAAGCTTTCGTGACTGCAGGAATTCATATTCTTTGGGTTTTTCGGTAAAGTCACGTAGATAGAAAAAAAACTAAAATAATAATAAAAAATATCACGACGTTTCGACCGCAACACAAGCGGTCGTCATCAGGAAACAATGATGACGACCGCTTGTGTCGTGATATTTATTTTTTCTATCTCCGTGACTTTGCCGAAAGACCCAAACAATATGGTGAAGTATGGTCAAATAACCCCCCACGACTGACGTGGCGCGCGGAGGCCTTCACCCAACAGCGGATTGACAAACGGCTTTCAACTAATTGAGGACATTTCAAGACTGCCCGTTAAAAACAACGTTCTTGTTCTAAGCACCAGCAATGAAAACGCACTATCCCACCAACTGTTTGTCGCAGGCGATGGGTAAATCACAAGGAGGTGATGCAACACTGAGTCCCTAACTCGCACGCGTGCCCCGGCCGTCCCTCAGATGCGGATCGGGCTGCACTCGGGTCCCGTGCTGGCCGGCGTGGTCGGGGTCAACATGCCGCGCTACTGCCTCTTCGGGAACAACGTGGCGCTCGCAAACCGCTTCGAGGCCGGCAGCCTCCCGTGCCGCGTGAACGTCAGCCCCACGACGCACCGGTGAGCGAGCCTGGGAGCGGTCCCTGCCATCTCAGTCCCGTGAAGTTCAATGTGGAGATAGTTTAAAGCGCGCCGGTCACGCAGGTTTGTCTTCGTGGTCGCGCTATGTGGCTGGCCGATGGTTTTTTTAAATCCTTTATATTAAGTTCACTCGCTTGCTTGCGCGCTTGCGCGCTTACGACCGTGCAAATCTTTCGGTCGTTTTTTAACCCACTTCCCGTGATCCAATCGAGCTGACATTTTGCACACAGACTCGTTGTGCGTGACAATTTATTTTCGTGAAAAAAATTTTCCTAAATTTTCCACTTTTTAGGAAAAAACTAAATTTCATATTTAATTTTAATACCAATGTGATAAAAATGAAACTCTTACCCAAGAAAAACAGAAATGAATAATAAAATAATACCGATGCCACGCATATAAAGGATTTATAGTGAAAAACTTTGTTTTTACGAGTTAATTTTTTTCTTTCTTGTGTGGGAGTGCTCTCCCCTCGTGTGCACGCATTGGTGAGTTTGCTCCGGTCACTCCAGCTTACTCCCAGGCGAAGCAAAAAAAAAACGAAACGTGGCCCGGCCTACCACCAGAGAGCCGAGCCCAAATCGGAACCAGCAACAGCGGCAGCAGCCGGCAACGCTCTATGATTGAGAGGGAAAGGAGTAGCTCAATTCGGTCCCTTCAACGTGATGGCAAACAACACGCAGTACAAGCTGACAACACATCGGAGATTTATAAAGTGATTTTTTGTTAAACATATTTCGGTTATTTTTTCCCTCTTTGTTTTCCATTTGCACTCTGTGCATCATGTCATGAGAAATAGAAGGAATTTGTGAAGTTCACAGAGCAGTGCGCCCAATGTGTCAGAGAATGGCTGCAGAAGAGATGGTTTTATAAGACCTCTCACTAAAAATCCTTCAAGCGATATTTTCATCATTTACACAGGCAGGGTTGCATTTCCCCACGCACTCTACTCTGAGATAGGATTGTCGCATGATAATCAAATCAACATTTGTCACTTTTTAGAGCTGTAAATCAGTCAAATTAAGTGCATTACCCAATGTAACGTGATGGATTTTCGTACAGCAATTGGTGACTGGGAAGAAACCATCAACTCGCTTAAACTTGGAGTTGAAATCTGGGCAAGTGGCTGCCCAGATTTGAACCCAGGACCTCAGCGGTGTGCCACCAAGTACCCTGACCTCTGAGCCACTCTGACCTTTTGTTTGATCTCATCAAATGAGCAAAGATATTGAAGTTTTGGGAATTAGATGGCCGGAGAGGGTTCCAGAGTCCAGCAGTACAAGGAGAGGACAATCCCGCATCCTATAATAAGATAGTTGAGCAAAATGTCGATGAGAGAAATTGGTCAATTGAGTAAAAATCAGTCGTCACGACTGCATCTCATCAATGTCGGGGATACCTGAAGTAGAGGAGTGATCGTAGGGAGGGTGTGAGGCAGTGGGGGAATGCTGGGCAGAGAGGAAAAGATAAATAATGGTGTAGAAACTTGTGAATGAAGACACTTCATGGCAAAGAGCGATAGAATGAGGGAAAGCAGAAGACCATCCCCTGTGTGGCCCGGCTTCACCAATGTCATAATCAGTTATGGTCTATCCACTGCTGGATGCAGGCCTCCCCACTCCATCGCTATTCCTTGTGGTCCTGTGATGACACAATCCATCTCGCTCCAGCGCAATCTTCTTTTTTTCTTTGCTTTGTTGTTCTTCCCCCGCACCTCCGATTAGCACGGCTGGTTATGCATGGTGCGAAAGAAGTTCCACATTCCTACGTACAACCTAATTGCTCCTTCTCCACAGTGGTCGACCCGTCGGGCATGTTCCCTGCTTCAGCCGGCATTCCATCGCCAGTCTTGTCGATCTGCTGCCATCCATTCTGGTGATGTGTCCTGGACAAGCCCACTCGCTCTTATTCACTAGCCACACGTGACCTCTCTAATTATGTGTTTGTTCTTTGATCAAAGTGTTCCTGCAGTCTGTCTCTCTGAAATTCCCAGCATGCACCTCTCCACGCTGCTTTACATATGTTCAGCCTTGGTTCTATCTTCTTTCTCAGTGTCCAGGTTCACGATTTGTATGTCATAGCAGGCACTCTACAAATAATAATAATCATGACATTTGATTATCCAGGCGTCACAGAGTCATGAGAATTTTTCACAAGGGTCTTTTTAAATGTGGATGTTCGGCCAATTGCATTCATTTGTGCTTGGATTCATTGGTTGCATATTACGTACGCTCGCTTTTCTGCAAGCAGACCCTCGTATCATCTTACGGAAAAAAAACCATCGTCGTTATTTACAAAACCTAAAACCTCCGACGGGCATATTAAGAATCACGGGGACCCCGAAGCGTAAACTGAAGCGCGTCCTCACAAACCGCGCTCACGCACGAAGCGCCACAGAGTGACCGCTTCCACTGCTGCGCTTGCTGCCGCTGTTGTCAAAAGGCTCCTGAGCGGTGACGAAGGCTTCCGCTTCACGCCACGGTCGCGGCGAGAGCTTCCAGCAAACTTCCCCGGCGACGTGCCGGGCATCTGCTACTTCCTCGACTCGTACGAGCCCGCGGCGTCGCACGGCCCTCACTGTGGGCCGCCCAACAAGGGCGGAGGCGACAGCGATGGTGACGGCGGCGGTGGTGATGGTGGCGGTGACAGCGGTGATGGCGGTGGTGACGGCGGTGGTGATTCCGGCGGTGGCGGCGGTGATGGTGGCGGCGGTGATGGTGGTGGCGGCGGTGATGGTGGCGGCGGTGATGGTGGTGGAGGTGATGGTGGCGGCGGTGATGGCGGCGGCGATGGTGGCGGCGGTGATGGTGGCGGTGGTGATGGCGGCGATGGTGGAAGCGGTGACTGTGGCAGCGATCATGGAACCGGCGACGTCACCGACAGACCACCCGCTGAGCACTCCTCCCACACCGCTCTTGCCGCCGACCCACTCGGGGCGGTGGGAAGTCCGCGAGGCGACGAAGCCCTGGGAAACCTGGATGGTAATATTGGTGGTGATGGTGGCACAGACGGTGCATCTGCCAGCCTTCTCAGTCACTCAACCCTTTGCACCTCCGATTAGCACGGTTGGCTACGTTCGGTGGGAAAAAAGTTCAACATACGTGCGTAAACACCCAGATCTGTCCCGTGACCCCTCCTGTCGGTGAGCCTTCGACACTTCACGTGGCCTCAAAGTGCACCTGGCATGGCACAAGCGCCGTGGTGACGCCACCGCCACTTAGAGGCGATTGTTGATGTCGGTGGTGGTGATGGCGCAGATGGAGCCGGTGGAGCCGGTGGTGGCACGGCCAGGGCTTGTACCGGCGAGTGTGGTGGTGGGTGCTGTGGCGAGACGGCCGGGATTCTTGTGGAGATTCCAGAATTCGGAAGCTGAGGCGATGCTCAAGAAAGCCGACTCAGAACCCACGGCACGGACTGCTGACTCCACGCTCTGGAAAAGAAACATGTAGGCACAAAACGCTTATTGTCGGTCGTTTTCTTTTTTTAATCGTTTAAACGCCTTCATGAAACGCTCCTTCCAAGCTTGCCACAAAATGCCGGTTGCATCACACCGCGCGGTCTGTCCTTGGCAAGATTTTACTTCTCGTCAGCCAAATTGTTTCGGTGAACAATGCCATCGTGGTGATAGGTTTTGAGACTTGGATAATAGGAATGCAAATCCGCACATGTGTTACTTTATTGATCAACGTGATTTGCCCCTGTCACTACGTGCCTCTCTTTCATAACAAGGCCGATGATGTATCACCACTCGCGCACGACAGACACTCACCACTCACAGGCTCACCTTAGACCAACTCGCCAAACGCAGCATCTCACCAGACACTCGCCACTCATCACGCACCACACATTTAAGACACCAACCAGACACTAACCACTCACAGCAGACACCGACACGAACCAAAAACTCACCATGGACTGCACACTCACCACTTACCGGACACTCAACGTGAGGCTCACCACTCACCAGATACCCGCCCGGTACAATTTACCAGACACCCAACGCTCACCAATCCACATGCACCACGTGACACTTGGAAGCGTTCCGCGTGATTAGTGAGGGTGGGTGGACATTAACTTTTCAATCTGTTCGTATTGTTTACAGTATGTGTCACTTATATAATTGTCCAAATTCTACATTACGCAACTGCTAGATAGAGACAAGGTTTAACATGAAGTAGAATTTTGCGAGCTATGAACTCATTGTTACCTTCTCAAATCGTGTTGACTTTTTTTGCTGGTCAATTATGAGTGGCAGTGTGGATGCAGCATACCATGCGTGTATCACCATTGATTACACTTCTCACGTCCAATCCATGGCGCAGTGTTTGTGCTTTTAGAAGGAGAACTCCAGTTTGTCTCTTTGAAGCACTATTCCTTTTGGCTTAAAATCCATTTCGGGTTTTCATTTCCACCAATACAAATTTCAGCGCTTCGGGGAAATGCAGACGACGATCATTTGATGTTAAAATGTGTATCAAAAAGCGTTGGTACATTAAAGAGACATTTTTATAGACACATAATAGTAAGGAATTATAAGCACAAGGCTATATAAAGCACACATGTGTGGACATTATAGTCCTTGCAAATATGAGTTGGAATAATAATATAAGCCCTACTAATAAAAATACCCAGACGTAATATCTTCTTTGAACAAATTAATATTCATTTTAAAACTCACATTATTTATTAACGCCATTTTGCGCTGCAGTTCCTTGAGACATTTGAACGTACGCGCGAGTGCGCCATTCGTTCTATTTAAATTCCCACGGCGAGATTATTTAACACATTTTTTTATTTTCACTAAATGCTAATAAAGTAAAGTGATGCTGTTTTGCAGATTTGTAAGCAGTCTAAGCAAATATTCTTTACTCCACACATGTAAGCAATGCGCTGTCTCCATTAACTGCAGCCACTAACCCAAGATTCATCATCGTCAGCCATGGTCTATCCACTGCCAGATGAAGGCCTCCCAATTGCCGTAAC